TGGCAAGTTAGTTTTTGACGGAATGGGGTCGCCAACCCCATGTCCAACCCTCCTCGTTTACCGGGCTTGGGACCGGCAGTAGCCCCGAAGGTTCTACTGGCGGAGTTAGGATAGAGCAAGGTCTGCATAAAACTAGAATTGATGGGGTGAATTTGCTAAGATCTGCTTGATGTTCTTCATATAATAGATTTACAGGCTCCTGGGTAAATGTTGAGGACGTTGGACACCCAGAACTCGCTTGATAAATACCTTATCTTGGATTTCACGTTTGCGAGCATGGGCTGGCCAGTTGACCTTGAGATTTCATTTCCCATCAGGAGAATCCATGACTGTGATTGGCTGCTGTGTGTTTTAGTGTGCTATTTATGTGACTGTTCCAGGTACGTTTCTACGATGTATAAACAAACGAGATTTGTATGGTTTATTGGATTGTGATTGCTGGGTGTTTTAGAATATACTTTCTGCGCTTATCAAGACTTCTGTTTTGCAGTTTGGGATCAAGGTAGCTTACCTGGACGCTGGTAATTGTCTCGTTCACGTTATCGACTAAGGGATGCCCGTAATAGCTTCAAAAGTGCCTAGTGACGAACCTAACAGTTAATTAATCAATTCCTTGGCAAATATCCAGACTATTATTTAGGGATTAGAATAAGCTGCTGAAATGGAGAAATAAAGAAAACCAGGCGAGGAGCAGAACAGGCGACAGACATCAGAAACACTGTGAACATTCCAAACCAAGCTACTGCTCTGACTAACTTAACCCATTCCGAGTAGTAAGAAAGAATAGGCGACTGGTTTTATTTTCTACTACTCAAGTTTACGGAAGCAGTTTTTCCAAACTTAGTTTTGTGAGGATTATGTTCTGGGCAGTTAGTAGTAGTTGCACCTAATTCACCATACAGTAAAGTAGGACATTTAAATCGAGATTCAAGATAGGTTATTTTTTGTGTACCTCTCGAAGTCTAATCTGCTGGGTTCTGTGACGAACTTCCATAACTACATTGTTAAACCTTCGTATGATGGTGCACAACGGGGAGACGATTGGCTATATAGCTACCATGTCGCTTTTCAGTGTTCTTAATGTAGTGCAACACTCTCATGGAATCTGTACGGAAGTTGGAGTCCTCCGTAAGACTTCGCTTAGCCTTAAACTTTAAACCACTGCCTCCATCTGAAGCCCCGGTATAGTGACTTGTTTGACAGGTGCTACCCTGGACTTGCTATTCAACAAGATACAGTATAGTGGTGCCTTCATATAACTAACTCGCGCGTAAGCAACTGCATCATAACTAATCTCTGAGGCATCACTGAACAAATGTAACTCTACTTTCGCGTCACGTTTGTGGATTGTTCTTGATCCTTCGTGCTACCGTGACATGACCTACCTGACGCATAAAAGTCGTCCGATTTATCCACGTGGACATATTTGGCTCGTTGAAAAGCTGATCCCATCCTATATGTGATTCACATAATTTTTGCAAGAGTAGTTTCGCAGTAAGAGAGACTGGAACAATTAGACCAAAATGATCGAACAGGGACGAAATAACATAGAATCTCCCTCCTTGTCCAAGACTTTACCAGTGCATCAAAGTAAAACTTAAATACATCTCGTTTTGAATTCCCATTCTATACCTAGAGTTCGATGAGTGGTATTGTAACTCGTTGACCTTTCTATCAAAAACTCTTGCTTGTATACACTGAGCAAGATGGTTCTTACCTCTTCTGAATTAGCTATCCGTTTCTCTGATTTAACCCTTGGTAGTTCTAGTCGCTGAAAGTATTACTCTATTTTCAGATAATCCAGTCTTCTTATTTAAACTAAAAATTTTCGTTCCTTCTACAAACGAATTATGACTGGAATCCCTACCACGATAATTATCCCTATTTAAAAGTGAACACAGACACAATAAAATCAAAAGACACTTGCTTTATAACAAGGGATTCGTAGTTCATTTTGTCTCCTTGACTCCCAACGAGATTTGAGCCTGCCTTTTTTGGCCAGCTTTAGGCATTGCGACGATTGAAATCCAATAAATGTTAGCCAAAGAAATCCGATCTATTGATATTGTTTAGAATTGTAGGACCCAAACTGAGGTTTAGACTGAGGAATAACTCTCAAAGAAATTTGGACACGCAACTTGCCCGGTTGAAATCCAAAACAAATGATCTGGGTAAATAACGGTTCCATTATTAATCATATATATAAATATACATCATTACCTAAGCAATATAACCACTCGGTTAATCCTTCAATGATAACGCCGAGTGTTTCCAATTCTGGAAGAATGCTCCAATGCACAATCGAAATTCACACTTCCAGTCAGTCCAGCCAAAGGAGGAACAATTCACTGTGGTGGCCACCATAACTAAGTATCAGTTTAAACAACATAATGCAGTTCAGAAAGAAACAATGAAACTCAGTGAAGGCAGAAGAAATGGAAACTATATTAAAATAGAAATATTATCATCTCAAAATGGAATTGAACAGATTAACAAAATGTAGAACAGAAGGAATCAACAAGGACATATTAAGAATGTTAACATGAAGTGATTTTCACAAACAAAGCCTTGAAAATGGATCTTACACCCATTTTTCATTCTCCTTTCAGCTACTCATCATACTCCTGAAATATTTGCCTCAATAATTACTGAAGACTTGCTTACTTTACCTAAGAGCCTTTAAATTTATTATCTGATGAACCTCTACAAGACCATCTTTGCACGTTAACTTCATAAATTCTTGTCACATGCAGACCAGGAATAAAGTTGAATTGATTCTCGACCAAAGCAGTTCGTCGAAAAGCTTACTCAGTCATAAAGCCTCCTTTCGAAAAACTGAAGCATGGGTTTCTCAGTTTTCAGCTCTTAATGACTCAACCATCATCAACCGTAATGTCTCACATCTGAAGATAGATTAGCGTCTTCAAAATATTCAACAGTGACAAGAAACTTCGATTAACCTAGTCCTTTCCCGCAACTTAAATGAAATCCTCAAAGTTCACGTAAGTACTCATCTGACTTATCAAAATATGAATCATTTCAAGAAGCATAGCTCTTCTGGTATGGAAACGGTTCATTCCTTTATAATGCATAATCTGGCTTCAATTTCGGAAAAGATGCTTTGTGTGATTTTCTCGTACTTGCTGAGTGTAGATGAGGTCCCACTCAATTTAAGCTGCAAACTATCAGAGGATACTGACGCAGTGAACTCTGAGGCTGCTGGCAGCCGGTAATAATTTAAATACCCTCAAACATTATGGAGAACTTGGTAAGTAACTACGGATTATTCATCAAATTCTCTCTCGATCAACACATCTTCAGTAGTAGGCACTTTTGTTAAGCTAAGCTCCTGACTGTGATGGACGGAATTAGAACCGTCCTCGATTGCACGTGAAGGTTTAAGTAACTTTGACTTCCTCAAAGCTTGTTATAGGTTCAGTCATCCCTATCCTTCCAGTAAGCTCAGTACATTAGGTATGAAGTCACACTTAACGGACCCATTCTCTTCAATTATAAATACCTAATTTTTGAGACAGTATAGCTTACTTTTACTTAGACTATAGAAATCGATAATTTGGTCCACACTGTCCAGTATTAGCACCAATTATTTCTTAAATTTGTATAAATGACCTTCCTCAACAAGTGTCTTTTCAGTTATCGCTTTCGCTGACGATGTTGAACTCCGAGAAGTTAACTGGCACTTTAAGAGGATTTGACCCGACTTAAAAGTTTGATGGGTTAGCGAGCTTAGTTTCAGCCCTTTTTAGAGTAAAGTATTCCGCTGGAGTCACGTTGTAGACTATGCGTACAACTTGGAAACAGTGGTCTCACTTTGAAAAAGATCAGACAATATTAGTGCACTATGATTTAAAAATTTACGCTAACCATTATGAAAATGCTTTTTAACCAAACCTTTCCCTGATGATTAGTAGCGTATTTTTGTCGAGTTTCACAGTAGAATGTTCCACCTAATGTTTAACGGCTTTAAGCCACCTAAATTATGGAAACACAGTATTCCCTAAATGTGAACATATCCAAAGTTGAGTCACGTAGTCAGTTCTAGGATTCGAATTAAAATCAAACGAAAAACGATTAAAGTCTCTAGATCTTTAATTTTTAGAATATGGGTGGTTCGGCGCTGACTCAATGGTTTATAGAATCAGGAACACTCTGGAGGACTCTTTGAAATACTCACTGAGGCTCAATTCCATCACAAATCTTGGAGGTAATGCTTAGTAAATAGGTCCCTGCCTGGTGACATTGGTAATTCACTGTTACTGGACATTTAGTCCCATTAAGCGACTGGTGTTACTATATTGTCCACTACCATCCCGCTAGTTACTAGTAGTCAGGTTTTGATATCCGTCGTTGGTTACCGTTATCTAGGCAATATCCGTGAAGTCCTTTGAAAATAAAACTTGGTATATTCATGAATATGTCATGGATATTCAGGGTCCGACAACTGTTGACCATCTCAGAATCAGCGGGACCAGAAATCATAAATAAAGATCTAAAGTATGTTCGGTGGATAGTCGAGATGTCGGTTTGAGTTGAATGGCATGTAAAATGGTGGTGGGGTATGGATGTCTGACCGGGCGCTTTCAGATAGGGTTCGTTCTATAAATCTCATAACGTCAGTATCCGCTCTGAATACTTACGGAACTATTCTTTTTATGATTTGTTTACCTTAGCATTCTTAACTAGAGATAGCGTACAGCAGTAGTTTACAAATTCTTTTTTGCTATTTTCATATACTTTGGCTCTGATGACTTACTAATTATGTAACTAGAAGCCGGTTAGGCGAACTCTACCTTTGCTTCTTATACAACCGTCTGAATCATTAGAGAGTCTGAAATTTCGATTTTCCTGCCAAATTGTTGACTTTTGCAACACTATCTCAAAATACATAGTACAATCACATTCCGTTAGTACATTTAAAACTACATTGGATCTTCACAGTGATACGAATCTCAATGATAAGTATTATTCAGTTGGCCGCCTATCTTTTGAAATTTAAAACGGCGTCGTACGTTCTCGACTGATTGGCCTTGACAACGAGTAAGCGGGTAAGGACTTGCATCTCACTAAGTCGATTCATCTTTGTCTGACTGTAATATTATTAAATATGGTGATTTATCTTTACTTCCCAGTTGTTGTCTTAAGTTTACTGTTTGCCAGAAGCTGTGATTTCTATCATGGTTTGTTCAGCTCATTGGATCATCTGTTCATGGTTATGGAAAACAATTCAGACATTTTACTTGAAGCTAAATGATTTCATTTTGCACGGGATCTCGAAACGTACGCCCGAGAATAGCGTCCCCTGTGCTTTAAATAATGGTTTCCATGCTTTAATTCTTTTAGGTTGTCGACCTATTATTCACTGTAAACGAAATACGAAGTCACTGCACATATTTTCTGTTCTTGATGTATGCTCTTGATAAAATGGCCGATGAAGAAATCAATCTAAAGGACGCTCTCATCCGGTCTCTGAATGAAGAGGGTATTTTACCTAAGCTTGAAGTACCTGTGTGATATCCATAACATTTTGCCACTAGGCCCAGTTAAAAGCAGCTGTGTACTTGGCTCTGGAAAAGCACAATTATGCTGAAGGAATACCGCTTTCCAATCAATCGATTCGGTCCTTATGGTCTACAGAAGATGGTATAGTATACTCACTCCATATCTCACTCATTTTTAGCAAGGCTTGATCATTGCGTCCCTATTGGTCGATTTTATGAATATGATGAAACTCGAAAGTACATTGAATGTTCTGATGGACGAAGCTCAGATGGTTGGGTGTTTTTTATAACTCTTAGTTTGTAGAAACATTTAGAATTTCTCGACCGAGATAAATTGACAGCTCTTCTCCCTACCGAACGCACATCAAGCAACTCTCCTGTGCTGCTGCACTTGATTGAATCACTGAAACATATCCGGGGTCGGAAAGTAGATAACACAGGTGAGTTATACTTGTAAATAGTTAGTTTTTCGATTTCCTTTACTGAATCAAACGTAATAGTAAAGTTTGGAAGTTTGCCACCAGTTAACTTTCATTTGGTTTTATAAAATGGTCTTTTGTGTTATTAGGTTTATTCATTAGGAAACTTTATTTTTCTGAATATTTTGATTTCGGCATGACATTCCTATGTACTTACTTCACGTGAAATCAGATTGTGCACCTTCATCTAATTGGTCTACTCTAATAAAGGCAATTTAAAAACGGCGAGCACTAATTAGAAGTTGCATAAGATCGCGTTCAACGACAGCGCCACAAGAGGATTTGGAGGTCTGAGTATTATCGTACGGCAAATTGTAGATTGACGGAACATGTTCATCAGTTAAAACTAATGTAAATATATAAAAAGTAATCAGCAGAATAAAGTATCGAGTGGCTTCATCCAGTAAGACGATTCATCAAATGTTAGCTACGCCGTCTTCCGGTCTCATGATTGTGGTTCCAGCTTGACTTTCGACGGTAATTCAGATACAGCAGGCAATTTATCTCACTGAAAATGATCATCAGACACCTGCGTTCATTTGGTTCTCTAGAAACCGTATAGATTCAGGTAACTGAGTGGTTAAAATTTCCTACATAATAGTGGACTAGTATTTGAGATATTTCTCTCACTAGCACACCAGTAAGACATTCAAACACCGCAATTTTTTACTCGTACCTGAACAGTTGTTATAATTTTCACTTTTGAATTTTTATTCATTTTAGATTCATCTACTTCATCAAGCAATTCACATAATAAGTAAGTCCTCAGATAACTACATTCATAGTGATTTTTGGCGTTGGTTATTTTTTTCGTTTATGTAAATTATGTTTGTTTCTGATTTTAGATCAAGCAGAATACCTGTCTTACAGAGTCGTAAAACGAGGTATTATTGTTAGCATTATTATGAACAAGTGCTTCTTTCGTTTTTGCACGAAGTTCATTTCATTTTAGTATTTTTAGAATTGTATCCTGTTTCTGCTAAGCTTGATTTTTTTAGGTTCATCTTTCTTCGTTTATTGTCAAAGTATTGTTTTCTGCATTTGGGACATGGCTCAAACTCGTTGCTAGTGGCTCAGATGCATCCATTCTTTGTCTTCCCCAAATTCTAAGCCACTGAATTCTTCACAATTATTTCACAGATTTATGCTTTCTTGAATCTTCGATCCCCACTCATTTTCATTACTACTGATTCTGCTACAACCTCTACTCTGGGATTTGGCTTGACAGCTTAATCTCCCTGTGCTAATGTGGTATGGTCACGTAAACTGATGTACTTATGTACGAAGTTCTACGTTGTAGCTAACTGACTGATTTCTATGTATAGCTTGCTAAAAGTATTGAATTAACATATTTCTGTAAAGTATCCCGAATAAAATTTCCTAAAGGAAGTATTATATCTAAGTATCAATGCCAAACCCTGTTTTCTTAGAGAATGGACTGATAGAGATTGGGACTACAGAAGGCTTCGCAATATTTATTGTCATCAGTTTGTCTAGTGAATATTTTAAACTATCGTGTGTCCTTACTTACTTTCGCCTGTTACCCCCAATGGAGCATAGGCCGCCCACCAGTTTTCTCCAACCAACTCTGTCCTGGGCTTCCCTCTCCAGTTCTGTCCAATGTTTGTTCATTCCTCTTATATCTTTCTCTATTTCTCGGCGCAATGTGTTCCTTGGCCTTCCTCCTTTCTTTTTGCCTTGAGGGTTCCATGTGAGGGCTTGTCTCGTGACGCAGTTAGGTGCTTTTCGTAGTGTGTGTCCTATCCACTTCCACCGCTTCTCCCCGATTCCCTCCTCCACTGGAATCTGGTTTGTTCTCTCCCACAGTTCGTTGTTGCTGATGGTGTCTGGCCAACGAATCCGAAGTATTTTGCGTAGACAACTGTTAATAAACACGTGTATCTTCTGGATGATGGCTTTGGTAGTTCTCCAAGTTTCCGCTGCATACAGTAGAACTGTCTTGACATTTGTGTTGAGAATCCTGATTTTGGTTTTGGTTGAAAGTTGTTTGGAGTTCCAGATATTTTTCAAGTGTAGAAATGCAGCCCTTGCTTTGCCAATCCGTGCCCTCACATCTGCATCGGATCCACCTTTCTCGTCAATGATGCTGCCCAGATATGTAAAGGTGTTAACGTCCTCCAAGGCGTGTCCATCAAGAGTGATTTGGTTGGTGCATGTTGTGTTGCATCGGAGAAATTTGCTGTTTCCTTTATGTATGTTGAGACCTACTGCTGCAGAGACTGCTGCTACACTGGTCGTCTTCTCTTGCATTTGTTGTTACGTGTGCGATAGAAGAGCCAGGTCATCTGCGAAGTCCAGATCGTCCAGCTGCGTCCTAACTGTCCAGTTGATACCGTGCTTCCCTCCAGATCTCGACGTCTTCATAATCCAGTCGATGACCAGGAGAAAGAGAAAGGGTGAGAGTAGGCAACCTTGCCTGGCACCGGTCTTCACCTTGAAAGAGTCTGTTAGCTGTCCTCCGTGTACGATTTTGCAGTTGAATCCATCCTAAGAATTCCGTATGATGTTAACTATTTTCTCAGACACACCGTAGTGTCGAAGAAGCCTCCACAGTGTTTTCCTATCCGCGCTATCGAATGCTTTCTCGTAGTCGATGAAGTTGATGTAGAGTGGTGAGTTCCATTCAATTGATTGTTCCACAATGATCCGTAATGTATCGTGTGTCCTAGATTCAATTAACTATCCATTTTAACTCTATATACACCAAGATTTCAAACTCATGCATGTACTTGCTTTGATAGGTGTTTTTCTATTTCTAACTATTTTTGTACGCCTGCGATTACTTCATGCCATCATCGTAGCATAATTTACGTAGTTTTTTTGCTTTGCTTGTATGTTTGTTTGGATTTTTCAGAGCCCTTACTGTTTGGCTGCTTATTTTAGTGAAATAACACTTAATCAGATAAGTAACCATTTCTGTGTACTCACTTTGTAGTCAAATTATATGCCATAAGACATGAAACGGATAGCTATAAATGTATGTTTGGTTTAAGCATGTTGTGCTACTCAGCTTCTACATGTAGTATAGATTTTTGGTAGCCTGGGTTGCTTTGTGCTTTCCTTAATTTTAAGAGATACATTTTCATTACCATAGCCTAAAACAAAAAACGCAACATGTTCTAAAATTGTCAGAAGTGATTCCATTACATAATCCCTTCCGTGAGTCTTTGTTATGGTCATCCATGAAGTCACTGACAAGTGGACTGAGTCATGTTGGTAGATGTAGGCCACCTGGTTGGGGTCCGCGAGATGATAGTAACCGATGGTTAGAGACCTTGAACGACATGGCTCAAAATCGTTTGCAATGGTGCAGGTGCATCCACTCTTTGTGTTCTCTCAAATCCTAACCTGAATTCCTCATCATCTCTGTCTTTCTCTTTCTAAGTTTATCTCACTGAATTATACTTCTCGAATCATATCTTCAAACCCTAGTCTTCTTCATTACCATTAATGCCTCTACTATCTCTATCACTATGGGATTTGATTTGACATTTGCGTCTCTGTGCTCATGTGGTATGGCAACCTGAACTGATGTACATACGTACGCAGTTCTACGTTGCATCTGACTGACTGTAGAGGGGTACGACAGCAGTAAAATGTTTCCCTCAGACAACCAGCATCTGCAGCGATGCTGCCTTCTCACAAGGAAGGAAAGGTTATAAAGGATCGACCCTAAACATGTCACACCTCACCTTACCTCACGGATTTCCGTCTCCGGCGGTAAAGCTTTTTAAACAAGAGCAGAGCTAATAATTTAAATACTACTCATAAAAAAACCATGCGTTACCAGCCTCAAGCAGTTGTCCCTTGGACTCTGCGGTCACGCTCCCAGGTCTCTACGAAGAACACTAATCTACCTTCCTTTTTAGGTTCTTCAAGAAGCACCGACGATGTGGGCATCAGGCAAGTGACATCCACTCTCATACCCGTAACAGTGCGCGAGACCAAATTAGTCACAGGCTAATCCTTCCTACACCCTCTAACATACCCCTGATCTTCACGACTAACTCTTCTCACATTCCTTTATCACGGCGCTCTGCTAATGAAAACGATAAGAGTTCACGAAACGTCATTCCTAGTGTCCTGAAACCCCGTTATAAATTACATGTTGGTGCATTTAATGTTCGGACATTGAGTCAAATAGGACAACAGGCTTCCTTAGGTAGGACATTAGAATCTCGCTCAATCGATGTGTGCTGCGTTTCGGAAACGCTCATACAGGATCCTTGTAAAAGCAATATTCTGATTTCACCATGTCAAGATAAAGAAGCAACTCGATTTACCCTTGATGTATCTGGAAGCCCTGATGCTGCTTCTCAGGCTCTCGCTGGTGTAGGTATAGCACTGAGTCGTAGGGCAGAGCTAGCTCTCCTAGACTGGATCACAGTAGATAGTCGCTTGTGCATTGTGCGACTAAACGGAACAGTAAGGACTCAGAAAGATAGAGACACGCCGTTACCTCTTCGTCGTATCTGCCTATGCTCCCACTGACTGCATTTCAGATGAGGTTAAAGATGAGTTTTACAGAAAGCTGTCGAACTTCCTCCAAAAAGCTAGGCTGGTAACTTTAATGCTCAAGTAGGTAGACTAAGTGAAAATGAAAGACACCTAGGTGGATGTTATAGTGTCGCGGCTCGGAGAATAGACAATGGCGACCGTCTGTTGCAACTAGGCTCAGATAACCGCCTATACTTAGCAAACACTAACTTTAGGCATAAGGAAAAGCATCTGTTGACCTGGCGACCCCGGAAGTCATCTCAACGTTGGACTCAACTAGATCACATCGCCATCAGCAACCGATTTAGGGGTTCGATAGAGGACTGTCGCTCGTTCTGGGGCACATGTTTAGATTCAGATCATGCTCTAGTGCGAGCGCGTATTTGTTTGAGGCTTACTGGACGTAGGAAAGACACCGCGAGTAAACCTCTTAGGGTTCCACTTAATGATAATAAAGCTAAGAATATCTCTCAGGATCAACTAGAAAGATAGTTAGGCAATCATGTACGCGATTCTAATCCGGAAGCAGGTTGGAATGATATCAAAAAATCTGTAGAAACAGCAGTGATACCTACTAGCAAGGTAAACCATAAGTCTAGGAAGTATCCGTGGATCTGAGTAGCATCAACCAAACTGATGGACGCTCGAAAACACATCCCTCCTGACTCTGAATGTGATGAGGAGCGGAGCCATCTTAGGCTCAGGCTGATCAAAAGCCTATGCAATGATCGAGAACAGTGGTGGGTGGCGAAAGCAAGAGAGATGGAAAAGGCAGTGGCGATAGGCAACAGTAGACAACTTTTCCGACTTATCAAGGAAACTGGTATTAAGAATCCTAGTGTAAGTGAGACTATCTCGGAAAAGGATGGGACTATCATTTATTCTCAATCCAGGAGATTGAATCGATGTGCAGAACACTTTAGGGATCAGTTCAACTGGCCTTCAGTCACACTTTGGGTTACCCACGATCTCCAGTCATCCTGAACGGCAAATGGATGTAAGTTGTCCGAGTCTTTACGGAGTTGAAAAAGCTATAGGAAATCTGAAGCGAGGGCGAGCTGCAGGTCCTGATAGACTGACCCCTGAGATATTTAAGGATGGTGGTCCAGTTTTAGCAGCTAGGTTGACTGAGATCTTAGAACCTGGGGACTGGACGTAATCCCATCCGACTGGTCTCAATCCCTGATTGTCCCAATTTATAAAGGACAAAAGTCTTCTTGTGACAATCACAGGGGAATCAGTCTAACAATTATGGTTTGAAAATTGTTAGCCTCCATTATACTTAGACGCCTAAGTAGAGCTCGTGAAGAGCAGACTAGAGAAAACCAAGCTGGTTTCCGACCTGGACGTGGCTGTATAGACCACATCTTCACACTACGACAGGTCTTGGAACACAGACACACATTTAGGCGTCCTACAATAGTTGTCTTCCTGGACCTTAATTCGGCATTTGACTCAGTGGATTGTGAGGTTCTGTGGCAGTGTCTGTCATTGAAAGGTGTACCAAAGAAGTACATCAACTTTATACAGGCTCTCTACTCGATCACTGTAGGTCAAGTTATAGCATATGGCTAACTGTCGTCGGAATTCATTACTTCAGGTGGTGTCCGTCAGGGCTTTCCATTGTCCCCTTTCTTGTTCAATTTTGTCATAGACATGCTCCAAGATAAAACATTATCTTCGTTTGAATTTTCAGGAGTAGACCTACCAGGAAACTAACTTGGTGACTTTTATATGGCGGTGACTTAGCTCTATTTGGTAAAGACGCTGACAAAATGCAGTCTTCTAACCACCTTAGGCAACAATGCAAGCATGTTCGAGATGAGGTTTTTCCCCTTGAAATGCAAAATGTTGTTCCAAGACTGGGTTGCATCGGCACCTGAACTAGTAATAGAAAAGAAGTAGTTTAGCAAGTTTATTGCTTCACTTATCTTGGGAACCTCATCAGTTCTGATGGTCTTGTTGGTGACGAAATGTCAGCACGGAGACAGAACGCTTGACTGGCTTTTGCCAACTCGCGTCACCTGTGGCGTAGGCGAGGTATCCGTTTGCTAACCAGAGGATGTTTACTTTGCAGTAGTGCGCTCTGTCCTACTCTATAGCTTTGAAACATGGCCTGTAAGAAGAGATGATATTCGTAGGTTACTGGTTTTCGATCATAGGTGTCTTCAAAGCATTTCTCGTATATCCAGTGACAACCGAGTAGGCAGTGCTATAGTTAGGGAACGAGTATTAGGTAGGGGTGGCAGATCAATAGATGAAGTGGTGTATTTTCATTAGTTGAAGTGGTTAGGACACGTGTCGCGTAAGCCTAACCACCGACTGCCTTGATGAACTATGTTTTGTGGTGTAGGAGTAGGCTGGAAGAAAGCTAGGTGCGGCCAGACAAAAACATGGCACAAATCCTTGAAGTCACTGACAAGTGGACTGAGTCATGTTGGTAGATGTAGGCCACCTGGTTGGGGTCCGCGAGATGATAGTAACCGATGGTTAGAGACCTTGAACGACATGGCTCAAAATCGTTTGCAATGGTGCAGGTGCATCCACTCTTTGTGTTCTCTCAAATCCTAACCTGAATTCCTCATCATCTCTGTCTTTCTCTTTCTAAGTTTATCTCACTGAATTATACTTCTCGAATCATATCTTCAAACCCTAGTCTTCTTCATTACCATTAATGCCTCTACTATCTCTATCACTATGGGATTTGATTTGACATTTGCGTCTTTGTGCTCATGTGGTATGGCAACCTGAACTGATGTACATACGTACGCAGTTCTATGTTGTAACTGACTGACTGCTTTGTTTTTACAGTTTTAAATTGTCCCTTATTCTTGGTGAGTATGCCTTAGCACTATAGTAACTTCCACTGATAGTAATCTATGCCAAAGATATTCACATTGCTTATCTCTTTTCGAAAGTCAAACTTGAGGCATCTAAATGTAAAGCTGCTTTACATTTTGGTGTATAGAGAACAGACTTCATTGTCATTAGTAAATCATCAAAAAAGATTTACGTAGATAACTTGTCTTTATAAGTGATACTTATTAGTAAAAATGGTGAGAATTCATCATCTTCTTTAAATTGGATTGTACTGGAGTTAATCAACTCGGTATTTATGATATTTCTCTAACCAAGCGTATTCTTGTGTATTAGTTCTTAATATTTACGTATTGCGTTTGGGCTTCAAATCCTTTTTGGCATTAACTAGCGAGGATTAATTCAGTGATTGTCGAATCAGTCGCATAATGAATAGAAGTTAAATCATTGCGGCATTTCTACCACACAGAATACTCTATATATTACCAAACAAACTAGTTGAATATTTTGGTTACATCAGTGTGTTTGAAATATTTCTAGCTTGTAGCGTATGTTTTATTTAAATTGAAATTCGGAATAATTTCACCTTATTTTATTTTTCCAGTTTTGGCTCTCAGATATCAGATGAAACACTCAGGACTCGAAGTTGTGACGGTAATAGCCCGCTAAAAGTTAGAGAAACTGTGACCACTCCACAGGAAACTCCTTTTCAAGAACCGCTCACTAATCACAGTAACAAAATGCAAATGCTTACATCTGTGATTGGATCTGCAGATTCTCCTCGACCTTTAACACCAAATTCTCAAGCCTCAAGTAATGTTGAGAAGGTCGATACTCCTGGAAGAGCGAACTCAGGAGGTAGTTCACCATCCATAGTCAGAGTGTATGCGCCAGTAAAAAAGCAGTCGTCTTTAAATGACGACAAATCAGATGTTGATGATGATGATGATGATGATATTGAAGAAGTCTCAAGAGCTGAGGAGTCGGTGAGTGATTTTATTCCAAAGTAGCTGGTCAATCTTTATCTGTTGTGGTGACAGTGTTCTAATGTCTCATTTGCTGTCACTAGAGCTACCACTTTGTTTATTCGCTTGGTTCTTTATGAATGTGTTATGGGTTTAAAATCTTTCTATATATATATATATATATATATATATATATATATATATATATATATATATATATATGTAAACATTAGACTTAAAGCAATTGGATCACTACCTAATTGAGTCTGTTAGGTTATGCCTCTAGCCCACTTAAAATGTCATTCAGACTGATATTAGGAATCCCTCTGTTATTGAGACTGTCGGAAAGAAATGGGACTATTATTCATTCTCAACCCAGGAGATTGGATTGATGGGCAGAATACTTTAGGGATCAGTTCAACTAGCCTTCAGTCACACCGGGTTACCCACGATCTCCAGTCATCCTGAATGGCAAATGGATGTAAGTCGCCCGAGTTGAAAAAGCTATGTATTACGTAGGACGAACCACTGACTGCCTTGGCTAGCAGTGATTCTTTGTGTACATGTAGGCTGGAAGAAAGCTATAGGTAGCCAGACTAAAACAGCCCTAACCATGAAGTCACTGACCAGTGAACTGAACCATGTTGACAGGCACAGACTATCTGGTTGGGGTCTGCGATGCAATAATAACCTATGTTTAGAGACGTTGAATGACATGGCTCAAAACTGTTTGTGCATTCATTCTTTGTGTTCACTCAAATTATAATCTCAATTCATCATGACCTGCATCTTTCTCGTCTCAAATCCATTTCCCCGGATTATACCTCTTGAATAATATCTTCAGACCGTGATCTTTCCGATTGCTGCTTATACGCCTACTACCTCTAACGCTACGGGATTTTATTCGACATTTGCATCTCTGTGCTACCGTGGTGTGGTGACTTGTACTGATTTACGTACGTATGAAGTTGTACTTTGTAGCTGACTGATTGACTATGCCTTCGTGGGAATATTTATCCGAATAATGTTTTATTTATTGAAACATACATAGATTCAAGGAGGCACCAAAATATATATGTGCCACCTAGGGGTCTAATTCACAAGGTAATAGAGCAGTGCTAGAAGATGCAGTCTCATGGAAGCCCAGGATCTTTCGTACTCAGCAAATTGGTCTAAACTCCACATACTCGCTCTTTTTCCTCTTAGTTTTGTAAACAACACTGAAATGTCATATGGACCCTCACCAGTTGACTAACTAACCGAGTAACCAGTTTTCCACACAATTATTCACTAACTATCCACTTCGTTCTCACTCTAGAAAATACCATGTGTCCATTTAAACTACAACGTACCAAATAATATGTCACAGATAATTCATAACATTATTATGTGGTGGGTCGTTGTTTCTTTTAGCCACTTGGACTAAAAGCTGCTAGTTTGTCTTTTGGGAAACAGCGAATACGTTTGTGACCTGACGGTTTGTCCTCCAATCACCAGCAACTTTTAAACAAATACGCACAGCAATTTCTCATTGATTTCTGTAACATAGTTTCTGATTATAGACTATATAGAATGAACGATATATTCCGCTTGTGTTTACGCTGCGATGCACATCTCAATAAATCTTTAAACTGAATACGGTAGGTTACAATCTATAAGGATTTCAAGACATAAAGTTGTATATTCATGCAGAATTTGTGAAAATGGTGTCCTGAGTACCGGGATGCACATTCCTGAATAAAATTACCTGTTTTTTGTTCTGATACAACCATAGATGTCTACTTGCATAGCAGCTGTGTAATTAGCAGGCTCATTTTATAACTTAGTATTTAGAACAGTTCAATGTTGTGTCTTCATGAATTGATGCTGTCTTGGTTTCTAACCCCCCGCAGCTTCGTTGTAGCCCGCTCAGACGTCAGCCATTATCGCACATGGGGATAGTCGGCGATTGGTTATTCGATATACATGTCTTGACCATATTAGTGGGTAAAGGTTCACCGCTGAGAGACCTGAGAGCCCGATCACAGAGCCCAAAGGATAAGTGCTTGCAACCGGTCACACGGCTTTTTTATGAGTAGTATCTAAAGTGTTAGCTCTGCTCTTGCTTAAAAGGCCTAACCGCCTGAGACGGAAATCCGTGAGGTAAGGTGAGGTGTGACATGTTTAGGGTCGAACTTTTATAACCCTTCCTTCCTTGTGAGAAGGCAGATGTTGGTTATCCAAGGGAAACGCCTTATTGCTGTCACACCCCTCTACAGTCAGTAGTACGACTTCGCCCCCAGACCTTGATTAGCTGCTTTCAGTCTGATCGTTCTCCAATCGACCTGCATGGCATGGTAGGACCTAAAGGAACATAAGTTCCAGCCAATATAGCTCGGTTGGGTCATCACGATAGGTGAGCCCGACCACCTAAAGGTAATAGCTACGGTCGGACCAAGCATAAAATAATATTAATTTCATTTTATGAAAAGCGTAGTAAAAGAATGTATTAAGATGGGTAGCTTTGATGTTATCTATCTAGCATCAAAGCTTTATTTCACTTCATTTTTTGGATTTTGTTGAGTTTTACTGTCTCACCTTAGTACAAAGTCCTTAATCATGTATATTTCGTTCCTTTTTTTCTTTCTAGTTGGCAGATGATACAGTCGACCAGACTGTTGATTCAGAACAGAGTCTAGGTCTGGATTATGTAGAAGAAGTACAATCACTGCACAACTCTGTCACAACATTAACGCGTTTTGTGTAGTTGCCATGAGTTATATTCTATAGTTATATGAAATTTTCTTAGGTTTCAGATTGTTTTTCCGTGATTTCGGCATATAACAATGATTCAGTGTTTCTTTCGTAGCGTATTGTACTATTTGTTCCCTGATTTGCTATCTATTTGCAGTTACCGTTGTAGTAATATTTCCATCCAATTAACAAACCATGATCGAATGATTATCGAAATTTGAATGTATTCATGATAAAAGTATACCAGTGTATAAAACATCATACCTTTTTATTGCATAAATAAAATATCTTTGAGGCGAAACTTTCTATTATGCTTTCATAGTAAACCAATGATCACACACATTGAAAACCAAATCAGTAATTTAAGATGCATTCATTGTAACTTTATTTGATATTTGAGTAGTGTGGTTTCCAAAATACTTATAAAATAAAGGCACGTTTCAGGCTTTTGTTTCATGGTGGGAAATAAAATGTTACTGTAAAAATATGGGTTCTGTAAAAGAATTCTAATTGTAATCTTTGAGATTTTTCATAAGACATTATTCCATTGAACGGATTTTCTGTACGTTTCTCCAAAGCCGAAGAACTGTCCCACCACTAAAATGGTTGTTAAGGTAAAAGAGTATATTTTGTAAATCTTTAATATCAGTATTAATTTAAGACACTAAGAGAGCCTACTGTCCTGAATTGTTTTGACATGCCTATGTGATATTATTTGCTGAATGGTGTTTCGAACGCAGTTCGCCACAAGCACGTCACAAAATCACTTTACGATTAGATGGCTAGCCTTTTAAAGGTGTGTTACTTTTCGTCATTCAGTTACGGTGTCATGGTTAAAATTCTTCCAACTCAGTAAATGCTATGTTTTAGTTTAATACAATTTTTCCTTCGTATCAAAGTGCAGATAGCTTTGAAAGCCCATAGTTTCTCTTCGAATAACGTCGCTTATAATTCAGATATCCCAGTTTGATTTCAAATCAGTCAATCTTATTTTATTATCTGGTATGTAAGTATTCTTTTTTGATTTTGATAACAGGATTTTTGAAGACAAGCAATAAAACTCGTTCGCTACAGTATATTTAATTATTTTAGTGGAGTTCATCCTTGTTGGGTGTAGGTAGTAAATGTCAAAGACAATCGGTTAGGTTGCACAAAACTCCTTAGATTGATCAGAGATAGGCAATAACACCATTGGATGCCAACTCAGTGGTCCAGAAATTAAGTGTTTGTGCCCATGACCGAAGGTCCCGGGTTCGAACCCTGCTCACATCAGGATTCGTGGATTTGCACTGCTGGTGAGTCTCATGCCACGATGAAACGGTTGTTCAGTGCTTCCAGGCTCCTAATAGGATCTAACAAAGATTCATTCATGATTTCAGTGCATAATTTTAAGTACTATGGAACTAAATTCCACTCCCTTCATGTATTCGTGAAAACGTGTCTAACTCCTAAAGGATTTAATATGAATAAAAAGCATCGTAGCAGAATAACTTGAATTCATTTATTCCGTATGTTCTTCTCAAATGATTGCGGCTTAAAACCACAATAATCAGTAAAAGAAAACAAAAATACGTGTCGTAAATCGGAAATATCTTGAGAATATATCAGTCACCATGGCGATCGGATGGTAACCAGAGATAATGCGAAAGAATTAACTTTTTTCAAGGGTTTTACCTATTGACCTCTTTCTGTTTAGATTATTGAGTAAAACTTGACAAATTGGTCATAATTCTTTTTATCCTAACTGTCACAAATGAGCTTCGCTCAAACAGTCTATGTTACGTAGTCTGTTATTTCTGTGCTCTTCTAGAATATTCATGATTTTACCGTAAAATAAACGAACATTAGCTAATCCCTAATACATTTTAATGCCTATGATGGTGAACCAATTTATTGTCTTTTACCACTATACATCATATTTGACCACTCGTCTGACCGATCATGTTAGCTTTCATAAAAAGAACGGGCCGATAAACATGCATGTGATTTTGTGATATCTATGGCTAAAATACATGGCATTTTCGCTACACATTCGAAATTGTAACAGGTTAAAATACCAGGATTTCGTATTAATAAGCTAATCTGCAGCTTGAAACATCTCATCGACAATGTCATCGGATTGTTTTAAAATTATAATTCGAAAATAAATTTACTACTTCATCAATCATAACCAAACCTACCTTAAACTCATCTTCCATAAATCTTCTTTTGTGATAGCATCTAAGAAGTCTTCTTCATCAGTAATGTGATTCCGACGAAGCTGATAAAGATAAATTAATTGTTTTATTGATGTCTCACAATAAATAGTGTTAGTGACATTTTTTGTTATCGTTTTATACTGAAGTGATAGAGTGCTTTTTTCTCTACTTCATCTGAACTGTGTTAACTACTACTGGATCTACCAATTCACAATGCCAATCTTCTGTTTTCAAAAATCTCAGCAATGTTGTTTTACGATCAAACTTCATATCTATTAGCATTGGGAAGTAAGCTACATCCACATTAGTTTATTTCAAGTACCTTGCATACTTCTGATGAGTATTTCGTAGAGGTCTAAGTCGAAGGTTTCATTATAGTCAATGTCGTGTAGAAGTTTTCTGATGATTCGATAAGACAAAATTTTCAATTATCAGTATCAATGGATAGGATACTGATCGATTAGTAAATGCAATTATATTGCATGGTTGAGTGAATAATAACAGGATGACACGTTTACAAACTAAGCGCGCACAAAATTTCTGGACCATCATAAGTGATAAGGAGAAATTAGCTTGTAGTTCTTTCACTTCCCAATCGATTAGGATCTGATTGTTCAGTCTTGTCTTTAGACACGATCATTTGTCAAATTAATCTAGAAGGACTTTTTCAACTGAATATTTCAAAATACCAGTCGTCTCTGTCATGTGTCTTAGATGAAGTTAAGAAGGAGCTAAGATTATACCCAATCACCCCATGAAAGTTTGCTTATATCTATCGACAAATAAAACATTTCTGAATTGAAAATTGGAGAATACATTTGTATGTGTTATTGTTGAAGCACCAAACTAATATCTCTAAGAGAGAAAATGAGTTACACTAGAATAAGTTTTAGCATGTTACTAACTTTCACACGGTCTTCTTCGGGTATCCGGAGATCTTTGAACCAATCGTCTAGTGTACTAAATCCAGTTTTCAAATCTGTGGATAATAATTCAAAAATTAATAAATTGGTAATGTTTATTCGACCAACTAAAGAGTGGTATAACAGGAATAAGGGTCCTCATGAAAGTAAGACTCTTCTCCTTGCTAGTAAATCAATCAACTTTAACTAACATGCGATACAAACAAGCGTTTCATCCGTCAAAATATGTATGATGACGAATGTCAGGTTCATTTGTACTCAGTCTATTGAACTGTTATTTCGAAACCATTTTTAAATAGTTTCTGTTCTTATTCAATCTGAGAAGGGGATTTATTCAGTATTTCACAACTTGAATACACAATTTTCGGGCATATCACAAATGTGAAAAGAAACCATTTTTAGTCATCTAGTAGACGAATCTAATCACGATTTGCACTAGATTTGGCGATCAGTTGCTAAATCCTTTTCAAGTTTTCTGTACATTTCCATGCATATTATATTATTTCATGGATTCACATTATGTTTATAGGGGTAGTTGAATTTAGTTTCTGAACTGACACCTATCATGATTCAAATGTGCATTAATTAGAATTGCAATATGTCCTCAAAGAATTAAATCGAATACAGAAAGTGTTTCATTCGTAAATGAGAGTATTTTGTAGCGTAGAATGAAAAGTTCAGAGAATTATATATCTCGATGGAAAGATTTCCTGTTACAAAGCAATTTCATACTCTCAGCCTCACCACTGAATACTCGTTTAATTATAATTATGCCTAAATCTTATTTTGAGTTGTTCAACTAAGTTTGAAGAATCCTACAGAATAATTTGATGTTGAATTTGGTTGGGATTAGATACAATATCGGTAAAGGCTGGTTTTTCTATACATCGACCGTATTCAACAGAAACCGATTGTATTCGGGCGGCCAAAAACTCTGCTAAGTTTCTGTGATTGTTACGTTTGTAAATAATCATTTACTTCTGAAAAATATTGGTATTTTGGTATCATTGTTTAAAACTAATTGTAAACTGCTTCGTGTCTGATTGAAACATTTTCAATCAGACATGTCAATAAATTTTAATGATGCTTATCGTATTTTCAAATAGTTATTTGTCTTAAGAAGTAGTGTCATACCAAAATCCATGTAAAAGCATGAATATGATAATAATTACTATTATTCATAACTTGCATTTACGTCCGAGGATATTGTACATTGAACTAAAAATAAAAAATAATGCATTTGTATATGGAAAGTCTGCTGGTCAAAGTTAGATGAGGCTATTATTATAAACGTAAGAAATCGAAATCAGTATTCATTAGTTAAAATTATGCAGTCTGATATTCATACAAATCTCAGGTTGAATATTTATCATCGCCTACAATACCGAAGGTCCTGGGTTCGAATCCTGAGGGGTGCAGGAGTCGTGGATGCGCACTGCTGAGGAGTCCCATACCAGGACGAAACGGCCGTCCAGTGCTTCCAGGTTTCTAATGGTGGTCTACCATTGATCGATTCATGGTTTCAAAAAAAAATATCTGGAAAATCATTATTTTGTCTTACAGCTTTCAAGCAGTGTGTTGTATGAGTTCTACACTGGTACCTTTTCCCCCATCCTACAAGTCTGTTTTACCCACCCGTATTAGAAGTGTAGCAAATAGTTAAAAGGTAATATTGGCATTTCTTGCAATGTGACATACAACTTTTGAATGATTCAATGATTGTGTTTTGTACCGGGTCAAATCACATGGTTTCAGTTCAGTGAGTGAGCATTTTGCTGATGAATGTTTACATTTATTGGTCTTACTACTCAGATTTTATGTTAAAAAGCATAACAATAACTAACCACTTGTCTCTAGTTTTGCATTTTCTGGTAAAAATTGTAACATAAAATATTCTATTAACTGTTGTGACAAAAATTTAGAATATTTTATAACTGAAATTATTTTGAGACATTTAATACAATACAACGGCGAAAGCTAGATACAGAATAATTTGCAAAAAAAAACAACAACCAATTGGTGTAGCTTTACTTTTGTTGATCTGTAAGTTGATCCATAGTGGTAATTGTATAGATGCTAATGTTTTTTGTATCTATAGAGACACTTCTTGATTCATTGTAACAAAAGTATGATGAATAATCGAAAGTTTAAAGTAGATAATCTATTTTTATGCAATCGTGATAACAGGAAACTTTGAATATTAAAAATAAACTATTCAGTCAAAATTATTCAATCGTATCTCATTAAAAGCACGGATCGAACACCAGTGAAAACATGAAAGCATTGTAAAGTTGTTTTGTTCTAGAATGAGATTCAGCAGTGCAAATCCTTGACTGTGACTTGGCCTCGAATCCAAGACTTCCGGCCTTGCATCTAGACGCTCAACCTTTAAACCAGTGAGCTGGAATTCATCGGTGTTAAAACCTAATTTGAATTAATCGACGCGATTGAACTCCACTGGTTACGACATCTCACTAAAACTTTGGGAATTTCGTTTTTAAGCTAGTTTAGTAACTAGCGATCACATGATAATTTTCAGCAGTGGGTTATAAAGATTGTTGAGTTTTATTGAAATCATGAATAGATCTAAGTTGACTCACCGTTGAAAACCTAGAAACACTGTTTTTCAGATGCGGTAATTGTTTGATGATTTCAACGATACTAAACAATCTTTAAAGTCCCATACCGGTAATTTATTAATACCCTAAGTATCGTAAATAATGATCTGATAGTTTAACTTCTGAAAGTAAAGATTAAGCATCAAATACAGGATTACGTTGATATGATGAACTTGGTTAGTATTAGCGACATATATCATTTATCTTGCGCTTATGTCTCTATTTATTTTACAACCAAATGTTTCAATTTATCTATCATTCACTTTGATAAATTTGCCATTTACATTTGTGAAATCAAATGTTTTTCAGTCTTGACAAATTAGATTAGTGTTTTGTTTTTCTTCATATTCCTGTTTTCAAATCTGACTGAACTCAGATTTATTTTCATTATACCTCTCTTACTGGTGTTCCTTATTTCCTGTAATAATTTTCATAAATACTAGTTAAATTTATAATTTAATATTACTATCTACTTAGAATCTTAAATTAATAAATAGTATTTTAGAAAAAATAGTGCAACAGAGAAGTGAGTAAAGGACCTATCTCACTTGTCTACTAAACCACTAGCAGAATTTTCATGATTATTAATCTCATCTAGCGTTCTGCCAGTCCTTGATTTAGCATGACACAAAGGAGCACTTGATTGAACACTAGTAATTCTCCTTGCACATTGAATAATTTCCATTGGTTCTTCAGGAATTGCTTCATTTGAAAAGGTTAATGATTTCTGTGATAATGACAAGCTGTTTGTATTCTTCTTTGTTTCATCCACTGTTGAATCAATTGATGAATAGTAGGGACTAGGTAACATAGAAACCATAGTGAACGGTCGGGTTGAAGGAGTCGATTGACGAACCAATGATGGTGAGTCGAGGTCAGCTTCTGTAGTGATTTGTTTGACTAGTCTACGATTGTGCTGTGCTGCATATGTTTGATGACGACGTAAGTGAACTGTACTTATTGGAGCTATATCTATGATAAAACGAATAAGATTCATTAATCGTGACAATGTTATTTGTTTGGTAAAGTTTAAAATAAATTTATGTATAAGAAAGCACTTTGAGAAGCGTATGAGCTACCAAATGCGGAGAAAGTTTGAAAAAAATTTCTATTTTCTCTATTTCATTTCAATTGACGAAATGAAACTATTTTTCTATGATATGTGTGTATAATCACTCTATACAGCTTGATGAACTTCATAAGATTTTATCTGGTCAACAGGCTAAATTATATGATATTTCAGTATGCATTGATGGGAACCGATAAATCGGGAACTGTGAATATAAATTATAAGCGACTTAATTAAAAAATAACATAATTTTAGAAGTTAGAGATTTTTTTCATTATAATAATGAGCTGATTATGTATAAAAAATTACTAATCAATCTGTGATGGCTTTCAGTCAGTCGAATAAGAAAATGAAACTATAAAAATCATTCTATTGAACATTGTACTTCTACTAGTCCATAATAATATTTCATTTACTCTTTCTTTCTTTACATTTGCATCGAGTCATATGTCAACATGTAATTTCCGAATAAAATATTAGATCCAGATTGTCAAACAAGAACTCAACTTTTAAACATAGAACCTAATAAACTAAATTCTTGTTTAGGATCTGTTATTAATTTATATGCGAAATAAGACACTTTTCACTTTATGGAACAATACACAATCTTAATAATAAACCACTTAATCTAGACAAAACATTGAAATGATAGATTACTTCGGATAAAATTATGTTTGCTTTGGGATAGTTAAAGAATCCGTAGTTTGAAAGTCATTTTTGTCGGTAAGTCATCTATGGAAACAGAGAAAACTAGACAGTGTTGAATAGTTTTGTATATGTATGCATGCAAACTATAAGCAAAGGAGAATTGCATACTGCTGAATGTTTTTGAATTAGGGCAGCACATTCTAAAAGTTTGAATGATCTTTCGGTTAGATATAATAATTAATTTAGTATAACACATTTCAAATATACTTACTGCTAATTTGATTGGTTGCTGAAGTGATTGCATCTTTGATCAATTTTTCCCATGCTAATACTTCATGTGGACGACTCACTTGGCGAAGTAAAGGTGCAGCAATGACACTTGGAAGTGCTGCTAAAGCTACTCGTAAATAATTACAAACTAAAGGTGTTCCCACTGGAAGACATGCATTATTTTGTTCAGATATCTTTGAAGAATGTAGCAATTTTAAAAAACGTCCACCTAAATCTTCCCCGCCTACTGAATAACGTTTTGAACTAGGTAATAAAGCGACCTTGTTCGCGTCACCCACTATCCCATTGGTGGATTCAGTCAATCCTTCATTCGTACATTTATTTGCTGGGATTCTAAGGTAGTTAGCAAGTTGAGACCAACAGATTCCACCTTGTAAACTATCAGTTATCATATCTAAAAGACACTGAAAACATTAAAACTCGTTTAATTATATGTCGATTCAAACCAAGGTAATATTCATGAACAGACTATTACAAAAACACATTTATATCTGATTATTTTAATTCCTTATTCAATTCGTTGATCTTGAAATCAAAGTTACAGTACAAGAGGAAAACATTTTAAAGAAGATTTCAAGACGCTCCCTATATTTTATGTATTGATCCACACCATTTACTGTCACTTAAAAATGTTAATAGTATGGTAGCAACTAAACTGCACATACTACTAGTTCAGCAGATACGTAGTTCATTAAGAAGTAGCTGGGGTTTAACACTTAATTTGAAGATGCTCAGGTTTTATCGATCAACTGTATAGAGTGAACTGAGGTTGTCATTCGATTTACACAACTCCTAATCTTCTTATTAATAACTTCTATAATTTTTAATACATTGACGCCAAAGTATCACTTAATCTAACCGTGAATCACGGTGTTTTCAATAACACAAAATTATTTCTGACTATAGTTAAACAAAGAAATTAATTATCCATGTTTACCATTAAATTCAATGGCAAATGTGATTACTGAACACACTGTTTCAATGAAAGGTTTAATCATAGTAATCATAATAATTAAACCTTTAATATTTTGGTCACCTATAAAATATTTAACATCTGATTCTGTATTTATCGAGCTTGCTTGATGATTTAATTTCTGAAGGAATAAATCATCAATTATTTTCTTGATAAATGTTAATTAAGAAGTTAGAAACAACTTCACTTGTTTATCTTACTTGCAGTTACTCGATAACATTTGAATAAAATGTTTACCGTTTGACTTAGTGAATTTATGCAAACATGAACTGAACCGATCGTTTTATGTTTTTCTTTCTCATACATTATTTGTGAACAACAGTCTTTCTATCAATAGCTTTTTTCCGAGAATAATCAGCGCGATCATGGAACAGACAATAGACAGTAGGCAGTAACAATCATGTCAACCGTTAGATATTCTTTCTACACAATATTCATTTTTACATAGTGGCTATTTTTTATTAATAAACTTGTAATTTTTTCACTAACCAGTTAATAAATACTACTATTCAATCGATTATATGCCTGATAGAATCTATGTCAATTAATTTCATAATCGAATGTCAAAAATGAATATAAAGCGAAAGAGAAAATGCTAAATTATTTCAAGTGGAGTGAACATCAATCTCACTATTGACGTAATATAGTCATAGGGTTTTTCTACTACAAATTCAATGTAAAGCTAAAAACTAAATAAATAATGTAATTTACACACTAATGAGATCATGAAATGACTTGCGTTAAGTAGATGATTCGTCCCAGTGTAAACTTCCTTATCAATAAACATTCATAGCACCAAGATCTTCAATTATCACAGCGAGAGCTTAACTTCTAGACTTTGGTGTCGGTTTCTAACAGTTTACATGTCTAATTTTAAGCAGTTAGTGACACTGTCTAACCATCTATTTTTTTCAGTGGATAACCGCCTAAAACCTGAAATATTTCGACTCTATTGATCGCCGGTTGTTTCTACAACTCTGGGAATTCATGGTTAAAGTCAATCTCGGAGGATTAGGTAGGTATATGATTAACTGGATTTACTGATATCAATAGTTTATCATGGCTGTTACTCAATAAAAATTTGATGCCATAATAAAATGAGGATAATTTTGCAGAATCCTCGTGGCAGGAGAATGGAATTTCTGACGTTTCGCAACTCATTGTAAGTTATCTCATCAAAAAGCGAATAGCCAAATCAGATTTATTTCGGTTCGAACTATACATAAAAAATTAGAATATTTTCTTTCAAGAAGTGGCTTACATTAAGCTTTGAAACATCAGAAATTCGCTTACTTACCGACTGGAAATATTATAAATTTATCATTGCTTTTATAATTAATAATTCAGTCAGTTTTCAGTCTGTTTCAAATTATCAAGTTAAACTGATATTTACAAGATCAAACCATATTTCTAACGAGCAACTATTCGTCTGAAAGATATGTAAATTTTTACTAGCCGCACGCTGCCATGGGTTCGGCTTCTTTCAAGATGGCGAAGAATGTTGAAGTTGTTATAATACGTGAGAAAAAATATCTGCAACCAAAATAGAGTGTTAGTACACTTCCTTTAGTTCCATTGTCTTGGAATGGGGAATCGATTCTCAATTACCATTGTAGCATGGTTTGGCAGCTGTAAATATTTTAACAGAAAGCTATCCTAAGGTTATTCAGGTTGAACCAGACTTATATATATATATATATATATATATATATATATATATATATATATATGTAGTTTAGAGCAACCATAGTCCCTTCAATCGGTTATCAAATGAGTGTTTTTGATATAAAACGTTTATCAAATTTTCTCTTATTGAACCTGATACAGTGACGTCAAATTTCTACTTGAAATTAAAAGACCAATTTGTCGTCATTATATAACATAAAACGATGATATATACCATTAAAATAAAGAAATATATATATTTTCAGTGAAGAATAAACTTTAAAAGATATCAACATTCAATCTTAAGTCCATTCAGTTAGATGAAAGTATAATCTATAAATTTTGATTAACTTATCACGTTAAATAATGATCGGTTTTTTGATATTGTACAAATAACATTGTACGTTCTATTATTTCTATTATCATTATTAACAAAACATACTATTAATTTGAAGGATATAATCTAGTTGTAATTAGACTACAGGTTTGACAATAAAATCTTCAAAAAGATATTTCTTCAATGAATTTATCAGTTTCTTTTCATTTCATTTCTGTTTAACTTTTCTACACAGAATTTCATAATTCTGAATTTAGTTATCGGAAAACAGACTTCCATTTCAAAATTATGTGATCTCTCAATTTTCATAAAATGTTTTGTGTAATCGATTTTCTGTGATTCAGTGTATGTCTATTTTCAATTGGCATTAGCACAAACATATAAATTAAAGTCTATCTGCCTTCATGCTTTATTGTCAGACTGATAAACACACTTGTAAATTCAAGAATGTATTGTTTAACCTGTTATGAGACTATTATCAAAGTTAGATTTTCGATTAGTTTTGTGGAGCATTCATAATTGTTTTGGACTACAAATACAGAGTGTGTTATAAATGGTAGCTTAAAATTTACGCAAATTTTTAACACTGGTTAGTGTTTTTCTATAGATTATTTGATTTCACAACTACTTGATTATTGACTGAGTCACATTTTTATCTGAACATAACAATGATTTAGAATAATATTGATCGATTAAATGTTTTGGATTCTTATCAATTGATCTGGTCTTTAGTTGAATTAACAAACTCAATAAGCTGCAGCGTAGAACTTGGTCCGTAAGGTCATCCTTTCTAGTGGCCATACCATATTAGAACAGAGAAATTACATTTTCAAGCCAAATTTCAAAGTTGTGGAGGTAGTAACAGAATCAATGGCAATGAAAATGATTACGGATCACGGGTTCAAGAAAGCATAAATCAATGAAATAAATAATTGAAAAGTTATCAAAGATTTAGTAGCTTAGGATTTGGGGAAAGACAAAGAATGGATGTACCTGCGCCACTATCATCGATTCTTAGCCATATAACCCAAACTCTGTAACCACTGGTTACGATAACCCTACAGACCCCAACCATATAGGTTGTTTGGACCTATTAATAATACTTAGTCTAGTTATGATAGACTTCATAGATTTATAATACATACAGTTAAATTGAAAAATAAAACGATGTTGCATAATTGTAATCATCATTGTGCTTTTCTGAGATTTTACTATGAATATTATGTATATATAAATGTATTAAATCAAGGCTATAACATAGAGTATTTAAAAGTAATAAATCTATCACTTAATTACATACCTCTAATAATTTCTTTTCAATTCCTTCATTCGATTTACTATCAGTTTCGGAGTTATTTACTTGTTTGCCTTGATCTGATATCATGTCATCTTTGACTCTATTTAAAATATTTGATTGTGTACACCGAGAAACTATATCAATCCATGCATCAACTATTGACTGTTTCTCCGAGATTAATGCATTTGATAAACGTCGTTTTGCTTCAGAGTCCTAAAAATAAAATAAAGATTTCAGAGTGTGGATTACTGGCGATACCAATATTCAAAAATATGTTACTTGACTTTCAGTGTTATGTAACCTTGAGAAATATATTATCACAACGAAGCTACAGCAGATAACTGTATCAGAAAGTGATTGATTATAAATCCTCGTGGTCGCTAGATAACTAACTTTAATCGCTCTCAGCAATACGAAATAAGTACACATTGATGACAGGTTTTTACACAAGTTCAGCTATTGATCAAGTAATTCAAATGCTTAATGAGAAAAATACAGTTATGATGACTGCTTACCATTAAGCTTAATAACAAATAATTGTCTTTATGAGAAAAACAACTTGATGACATATATAAATAGATTGTTTTATGCATAATCACTTGCTTACTGTTATGTTAACTTTTAGTGTTTAGATACAGGTTATTAAACAACGAAATAATAGACTATAAAACATTGTCAACGTAATGTCCCAGATATTTTTTTGTACACAACGAAATGTAATATTTCAGTTCATCCCACTGTTCGCATACATTTGACTAGTTTATTTTTGTTCAGGCGTTAGAAAAGCCTTCTATTGAATTACCTTTACCAGTTTAAGATATTATTATGGTACAGTATCGTAACTTGCATAGAAATACTGAAGTACCTCCGTAAGATTAAAGGATACCAGTACAAATACCGTATTTTTCTAGGAAAAAACTGATACAGTTTTGAAAATTAGAATTTGTTTAAATTTGATAATCATTAAAAAAAAATTGTTATCACGATACAAATTTATGGAGAAAATATAGAACAAAGCAATTAAAACTTTTATAGAAAAAGGATATCAAAAAGGTATGAAATGTTCAAACTTCATGTTCCAAAGCAAAAGGAAGCCGAACGTCATTTGCAAAATGTCATGTAAACTGTTATGTAACATCATAGAAATAAAACCATGCTATAGAGTAGATGCAGTTATTTGATGTTTTGCATTTGGAAGACGAAGTGCAGATGCGTTTGCATTATTTTAATTTGTGTCACTGTATGTTTCATAAAGTCGGTGACTGTCAGTTATGCGTGAAAAGTAGTGCACCTTTGTATAACTTGGACTACGTGACATTATGATTGGCAGTAACTTTGTGGGATTAGAAACTCCTGGGTTGTTTAACTGAAGTATTACAAACTTTTTGATCAAGTAATCTCCTCACTCAAATATTCTTAAATCAAAATTAGAATTTAAAGTCACTATTAGATGTTATTATATCATTTGTAAAGGAATTTCAATGTTCACTTTTTTATTAAGTTGCCTGAGAATTTTAAATACTATCAAATAAAAAAAAAAATAAAGAAACACACACAAAACCTAATGTGGTTCAAAAATTACCTGTTTAATAAAATTAAATGGATCTTCTGAATTTCCGAAACTAGGACTATTTGTTGAAGATTTGCGTTTCTCATCCCTTGTTATACTTACACCTGGTATTTTCATTTTTTCTACCTTGACAGGCAAAATTGAAATATGATTTACTGATTCTGTGGACATTTTTTCTCCATTAGCTTTTTCATTCCCTGTTTTATCTATAATACAATTTTATTATATAAAATTATTTTTTTATGAAATTATGGTTTTACTTGTTACGTTCGATTGACGGAAGGATTCATTTGAAAATATGGAAGCGGTATCATTGTCGGATTTTTCACTTTCTGACATAATTGAATTACTAATGTGAATTACATTTAGTAAACGATTACTTTTACTCCCCCATGAAGCTTAAAATGAGAAAAAAAAGAGCAGAACAGTTAATGTCATGCAAAACTTTCGCTTAAGTATCATTTAAAAATTTCAGACAAAGAAGAATATGAACAGAATAAATTAACTGGACATAAATTTCTACAGTTTAATCATTGATATCTTTTTAATTTTAATAGACAGTAATTTATGTTAGCTTATGAAATATGTAAATTTGTAGTCTAAGTTTTGATTATGAAAATATAGATTAGTATTTAAGTTGAAAAGGTTTTGAATTATATAGCAATAGAGAAGAAAAATACTTTTTCAATTCAATATGGAGAATCTTTATTGATTTAATTTTGGAAACAAGTTAATTATTCAGATGACTAATTTTTTAACAGTTAATAAGTAGCGTACATCGATGATTCTATTCATGATATGCAAAGCAGGATTGGAAACAATTGTGTATCAACAAAAGTTTCCATACTTTATATTAATAAGTTTAAAGAGGAGACCAATAGGTATAAAAGAAAAGGACTTAAAGAAGTGTCAATGATAGAAAGAAACCCGACTGTAGCTACTACCTTGACGTGGTGGTCGGGCTTGCCTATCGTGATGACCCAACCGAGCTATATTGGCTAGAGCATATGTTCCTTTAGGTCCTACCATGCCAGGCAGCTCGATTGAAGAACGGTGACACTGAAAGCAGCTACTCAAGGTCTGAGTGCGAAACCGTACTGCTGACTGCAGAGGGGTGTGACAGCAGTAAAATGTTTCCCTCAGACAACCATCATCTGCAGCGATGCTTCCTTCTCACAAGGAAGGAAGGGTTATAAAAGTTCGACCCTAAACATGTTACACCTCACCTTACCTCACAGATTTCGGTCTCCGTCGGTAAGGGCTTTCAAGAGCGAAACTAATGCTCTAAAAACTTCTCACAAAAAGGCCGTGCATGACCGGCCTCAAGCAGTTGTCTTTTGGACTCTGCAGTCACGCTCCCAGGTCTCTGAGACCAGCACTAATCTACCTTCCTTTTTAGGTTCTTCAAGAAGCACCGACGATGTGGGCATCAGGGAAGTGACATCCACTATCATACCCGTAACTGCACACGAGACCAACTTGGTCACACAGAAATCCTTACTGACAGAATGAAAACTGAGCATCGATATTAAGTTCGAAAAAGAACAGATGAAATGAAGGAATATGAATAATTTAAGTCATAATGAGGGGAAAGTTAAAGAACGAACTGATTTTGAATTGCACCACGAAAGGTCTCTAGCCATTATATAAGATCACTTTCAGGGCTAAAACTAGGAAGTCTACACCTATAAACATGGGACAAAGAAATAATTTTATCTGTACGTTACAGTTATATGATTACTGGCAAACCATAAACATGATCTAGTTTGCATAGTTTCTGATATGAATTTATGATTCACATAGAATGTCATTATTATTGTATTGCTTATTTACTACAGCCTGAAAAGGAGAAAAGTTGTTACAGATACCTAGTGGGTTGTTGGCGTGAACTGAATATTACTAAAGTCTGGAAAATTGTTAATAAACATTGAACACTGCAGTTACTTTGGTTTGTAGATAATCATCAAAGTGATCATCAAGTGATTGATGTGTGCACAAGAAAATAATGGTAAACCTCGTTTATTCCCAGTTAGAATAATCAACCTGAAACAACTATATATAAAACCTATACTCGGTGCTTCTATGATAGTCTCTGATTTCTACACACAGGATTGAGCTAAATATATGGAGTCATTTGATTATGTAATTGCTGATTATGATGAAATACGTTATTTGTGGATTCACCTCTCTACGTGTTAATCTCATCATTTTTGACTTTTGTTATATTTTTATGATTCATTGTCTTCCTTAAAGCTTTTGTCTCGAATTTTATCAACTAATAATTATGTCAAGCCTCTATCAATACTCTTTTTGTTTGTTGTAATTGTAAGTGTTTTGTAGTTGATGAGACACCATAAAATACCATGAAATAATTTTGCTCGGAAAAGTTTATTATTTTCGTCAAGAGAATCAGATAGATACAATATTATGATAGTTTACTGAAAGCGTAATATGCATTATTACGGATGGATTAATACAGTCCTTAACAATTTTTCGAACGGATACATTATGTTGAAAGTGATATTTTCTCAAACTTACAGTTTATTTATTGCTTGACATACTCATAAAATATTGACAGATACTATCCGAGAGAAAATTTTTAACTGGTTGAATTTTACCATAAAGTTAGTTAACTGTTCATACAATTTGTGACTAAAAGTTTCCTTATCTTGTAAGTTGTGGGACTAAACACATAACATTTACATAAAAATTATAGTCATGAAATGATTGTGTTGTTTATTCTGTGAATAACATGTAGCTATTAAAATGATTAACAGGTATGTATGTCTCATGAATAAACATTATCGTATCAATTTTGAATAAAAGAAAAGTAATTGTGAAAATCTAAAGAGAAAAGAATAGTTTATTTTGAATATGAATACTGAAAAGATCCTCTTTCTTCTCTATTGATCTAATATTTTTTGAATCAATCCAGTTATTCTAGCTTCCATGAGATAGGTATTTTCATGAATTATGATCCTAGTCTAGTTATTGATTTTATTCAAATGAAAACACTATGCAAAATATATATTTTTTCAATTAATTCTCATCAAGTTCTACAATTCTAAATCCAAATCAATATTCCCAACGAATAGCTAGGTTTTGCGGAAAAAAAAACTGAACTTGAATTTATGACAGACAGTTAAAAATTATTACTTTTTTTAACAAGGAGTAGAGTTTTCATGAATTTTGTTGTAATCAAACAAAACGATGAATGATCATTATAATTGATATTTATAAGAATGCTGGTATCTCAACCAAAAAAATGTTTTCACATTGTTATGTCTACACATAGAGACATTATAGTATTTATACAATTCTCAATGACCATTGACACTTGTGAATATCACAGCATGAATTTATTGACTGGTTTTTTTTGTGTGGTTTATTTATAACATTTCATCGATTCTTGTTAAAAAGTTAACAAATGGAATTATTTCAAATTGTTACTCTGAGAAAAAAATTGGTTTTTTTTAATGATGGTAGATGAGAAGATATATATTCACTTATAACAACTTGATGAAATAAAATAAAAACACGCTACCCGCTAAATTCAAATTTAGGGGTTATCATTATTAAACCAAAGAATTCAAGGTTATAGGGTTTCATGAATGGGAGTTGGAAAACAAAATATCACCAGGAAATTGATTAACAAATTAGTGATTACTGTTAATAGTTAATTAGCAAAAGCTACTTTTCAACTTATTAATTTATCATTTCTTTTTTGACAAATTTAATAAAATACACTTTTTCTCAAATTTTTGCAAGAAATAAATAAACAGATCTAGTTTTAATACGTTTGTTGATATCTTGTGTCAGTGTTTAGACTGAACAATGTGATATTACTTACCAGAACCAGATAATATTACCGGTGAAGTTGACTGATTTGATATATTTGATAAGGATCTGAAATTAGAGCAAATCATATCTGAAATTATGGTTTTATACATTTGATTTAGTTTTTATTTTAAAATAGAAAAAATAAATCAACTTATTCTTTTTAGTCTGAATGCCATGGTTATGAAAAAGGGGATAAGTCAGTCAGAGTTACTTGATGAGAAACAATTCTTAGTTGTCCACGTACCTTAAATATGGTCGTATTGATTTATGTAATGAACAAGGAATAAAAACAACTGTCTGAACAAAAAAAATGTTTGCCAATGATTCTGAAGTCGAGTTATTCTACGAGATTTACACCTAATTAATGACTAAACTGTCCGCCATATAAACAATGAAAATTCTACAATCTGTACAAACCCTTTATGTGAATCAGAACATTATGCTTACTATTGTATAAGTCCAAGTGATAATTCTAGAAATCCTGATGAGAAGCTATGACATATGGAATTGAACCAAGTTAGGTGTGAGATAGATGTTCACCGCAAATAATGAAGGATGGCTGCTTCAGCAGATGCCATCCCAGTGGTCTAGAAGTTAAGTATTTTTGCTCGAGACCAAGAGCTCTGAACTGTAGCCCTTGCATTAGGTTTGTGGATGTTGACTAGTGAGGAATCTCATCATAGGATGAAACAGATGTCTTTTACTTTCTTACTAAGATCAGTATGTGGTGTAAAATGTAATAATTGTCCATTCATCGATGAAAAATACAAACATAAACTTGTATATTATCCAAATAATTTACACACTCTTTAGTGATATTGAAGACAATAGTTATTACTGACAAAAAGTATTGCATAATAAAATCAATTTGAAATAGAGTCATTTGTTGTTTTACTTAGTGGTCTGGCTAGTAAATTCCAGTAGTCATTTTCTGAACTAATAATAGATTATTTTGGTTATGAAGCATAGTTTGTTTTTCAATTATTTAGAAAAATCTAGTTCTACCTTAATTATTTAATGCCAATTAGTATATGGTTTATAAATGTTTATGTTTGTGTGTGATAATATGAAACACGGTTGAAACACACATAATAAACTTCAAATTAAATTCAACACACAGTGATCAATAATCAGAATTATAAATTATTCATACCTAATAAATGAGATTATTTGTTTAAATTCTATGCCAAAAGATAACTAATAATGCTGTTCTAACAGTTCAGAAAGCACTATAAAAATATGTGATATGTATTACTGAATGAAGGAGGCTACATTGTTGATTGGTTTGCAGAATTTACTATATGACGTAACAATTGTAGATTTTCTTTGATAAATATTTGTGAGTGTTGATGCTTTTGAAGAGTTAGAAAATTAGGAAAAGGACAGTTGTTTAGTTCATTATGGTTGTTTAACAAGCATTAGCTTGTAAGAATCAATTTTTAAGATTTCCATTTGAGGTAATAGGATACTTCTGATATAACAATATTATTTAACCAGATGAACTGTTAATTATATCAATATTTTGAAAGTATTTGCTTTATTTTTGGCATGAAATATTTGTAATACACCTGTTGTCTATCAAACAAGACTAGTTTATGGAAAGATCTATTTAATATGTGCATAAAAGCAAAGAGATTGTTTACTTTTGTGAAATAAATATAGACATTTGAAAAGTTACCTTAGAACTGGTTCAGATGATATAGAGTCAGGTTTACAAAATCCATTCGAGGGCCGAAATCTATCTAAAATTTTAAATAAAACAATGTATTAATCTAACATTATCCAACAATGTAGAATTATATTTCATAAAGTATCAAAATGGTATGAAACTGCGGAAAATAGTTTTGCATAGGATCTATCATCGATATCCTCCTACATACTAACAGTTTAATTACAAGTTAGTAAATTCAGAATGGAAAGTGCTTAATTGGAATTAAAGTTGATTTCAGTGTGTTGATTGAAATTTATTACCTTAATTTTGTTTAGTAAACGTTTATTGAAATGGTAATGTTTACTGTTACTGATTCATATCTAGGTAGTGAACAATATCTAAATTGTCAACTCCTTATTGAAAATAGATGCTAGGGATATAGTTTTGATATATTTTAAAGTCTGAGTGATTGGATATTAGCTACTGAATTACTAAATCAGTCTTAAAGGAGGATAACCAGAGCCTGAATAGCCTTATGCATTAGTTGGGTTACACTTGTAAATATTCATTCTACAAAATAACAGAAAACACATAAAGATGATTTATGGTTTTCTTCCAAGAGAGTCCAACAAGTTCTCAAGAAACAAGCACTTACTATCAAAAACTTATTGAAACATTTAAGAATGAACATAATATTTAGACTAAGAGATTTACTAAACTTACTACACATTTTTGTCATCAATTAGACAAGTTAACAAACATAACTCCCATTAACAACAGAAATAAATGATAATTTAGAGCCATTATCTTGTTAACGTCATTCAGTTGTTTGCCTGTTTAGTTTCAATTTTTGGTACGAAATTTAAACCCAGTTTTTAAAAATTAGTTTATACTTGAAGCATTATAGCAGTAATTTAATAAGTAATTATCAATTCCCCAACCATTTTGTACGATCGTTTAGCTTTCAGACAATGTGGCTAGTTGTTGATCACAAAAACATGTGTTCGATAAAAGCGTTATCAATGGTGGTTAATCAGTAGGGATATTTTAAACTTTTCATAGGGGTATTCAAAACTAAGTAAAGTGCTTTTGTTTGAAAAGTTTATCATTCACAGGTTATTCTTGACTTTATAATTCTCATCAATAAAATCAATGATTCAAAGCTTTTATTTCCAATCATTTGTATTGGTTGTTTGAATCCATCCATCAATACTTAGGACTGTAATCGGTCAGCCTCTTTCAGCATATGTGCATTCTGTTTGGATCGCTTCGATATTGTGATAGAGTTATAAGAATTAAAACAGAGATGGATGATGGCTAACAGTGAAATCCAAGATGCGCATTTTGTTTCATTTGAGAATCAAGAGCTGAATGTAGCTGCATCCGGGAGTTGATGTTCACTCCAGGACTGACACCTAGTGCCAGAGTGATCAGCAACTCTTGGATGCAAGCACACTCAACTGACGAGTTCCAGATAGAACGAAACACACGTCCTGGATTCTATTACTAGCTGCCAGCCATCTTTGCATTTTGTTTTTATGTTTAGCTATTTTATCTAATTCTGATGCTGAATGAGTTAACGTTTTTGCTCAACTGGAGAAGTTTGCTTTTTATAAATGGTGTCAACTTATGAGTACAATATTGTCCATAATTCTAAATAGTAATTTGGATGAAGTTTCGACATGTTTTCATTTATATTATCGAGTTACGGTCAAAATAAAAAACTCTGATCAATGAAAAAAAGCTCGATACACAAAATTAAAATTTTGTCACCCTAGTATATTAGTGTGGTAAACGAACTACCTACCTGGAGAGTGTGCTAGTCTCACTGGTTTACGTCGTCGTAGTTTTGTAAAGCTGTAAATGAAAATTAACCAAGTAGTCAAAGAAAAGAGTGAGTTCAACAATCTAAACAGAATCATACGCTACAAGGACTACATTGAAATATTTTAATATTCAGATATCTCAAAGTGCACCGTAATGATGTGCTTACCGACATGAACAAACCTAAGTTTGAAAGCTTGGTTAAAGTATGAAAGGTGAGAAAATCTCCAAGGAAAATAGGAGCAATGATGCTGGAAGTATTAGTGTTACCAAAAAACGACTCAAAACGAAACAAAGAATTAGGAAAGTAAAGCACTTATTTAAGTCTTGTTTTGATGAAAAGCACCACTGAAAACGGTTTTTTTCCTCTAAGGATGAATACTTATTATAAGTTTATTTATATATACATTTCAACTATTTCGTCATGAGTTCAACAATACACAGTGTATGAATATCAACATATTCAATTACTGATTACATCTGTAGTACCTCCACATACATTTGACTCCGTTCATATTTAATTTGGTTAAGCACTTTGATGAACTTATTTGACCGAGTCATTTGCATAGCAATAACTTATATGTAACATTGACTTTTATTATTGTCTTGTTTGTATGAGGTGGCACGACTGAACACTGCTTACCGCATACGTGAATATTGATTCTATTCGCTTTAATTAATATTAACCTCTTTAATATTTCGATGACTCAGCAATTTTCATTTGTATACGTATGTGCATCTTAAGCTTGTTAATTCATTCGTTTGTTTGCATTCCGGTATTAGCTTTTATCCTGATTTTATATTTGTATGCCTTTGGTCTGCTGGTCTGATTGTGGTGTGCAAAATAAACGTATTCAACACTTCGCATTCGCCTTCTGGTTTATAAACCGTGAAGCGTTATTTGGGAACGGTCGTTTGGACGAGGAAATTTCGTAGCCTAAGAACACGTTGGATACCAACAGTCACGAAACTAGTGAGACACTGGCCACTACACATCCATGAGATTTTTGAAGAGCAGTAATACTATTGGATACAGAGGTAAACGTTTACATCAGTATGAGTAGATGCGAGATTTATATTATTGCACTAAGTGTATTGCATTTTATGAAATTTCAGTCCGATATAAACATTTCATCTGGCGATTAAAAATCTGTGTATTATCCGTTCTGGGAGATTGATTCCTCCAATATTCCATAAACATGTTATTTCCAGAAGTATATCAACGACAACACTCCTATAACGAACATAAATAATTTTTTAAATGATTTGAGTGAAGTTACTGAAAACCATATCTAGTAACTCGTATTGACACATTGAAAATAGTCAGAAGATTTTATAGTCAGTAGTTAGATAAACAACTATTTTTTAGATCAATAAAATCGACTACATTCTTAGCTGCAAGTAATCGGATATAACTATAAAAACAATTAGTAACAGATAAAAAGATAACCTTCAATAAACACCAATCGTAAAATAATAACATTTCACAGTTATATCTGAAATAACAATTCTTAACATCAGACACTGCGAAAACTAGAAATAAAGTTTGGTGATTAATTATTTCCAACTGACTGATTTTACTACTTGTAAGTAGTAAATACAATTGTACATAAACGTAAAAAATCCAGCACATTTTATAAATCAGAAATGTCTATGTTAGTTATATGTAAATCATAGTTTTTACATGAATTATTATGCATAACAGTCAAAAAATTAATCATGACAGCATCTACAAAATAATTCATTTTTCTAAAGCTACATACACAAGTAAACTACACAACACTAAATAATTCAGCATTAGGAATTTACTTCCCAAGCTTTAGAATCATATTTCTACCGGATAATTAATACGATGGAAAATGTTTATAATTTATCGGGTATGCATGTAATGAGTAACAAATAATTTGAGTACGAATTACCGTTTAGTGATATATGGTATTACTTAAAGTAATTTCATTACTCTGGGATCATGATGCATACAACCATATATAACTTTTTATTCTGATCAAAATTGTCATACAAACAGAAAATTAATTATTATCAGAAATATTACCGGAAAATGCTTAATATATTGTTTTCTATGTAGATTCAGTAGAGGAAATGTATGTATAACGAAAAATGAATAAACCATTTATATTGAAAAAAAACCATTACAATATGAATTGAATCAGGGAAAATTAATTATTTCATTGAGAAGTAACTTAAACGAGTAAAATAAACTAATACTGATTTTCAAATATTTAATTATGTACTCTGAATGTATATGTTACTAAAAATGATTAAACGCATTTTATCTAATAAAACCTACGGTGAGTTTTAAAGATGTATGTATGGAATAGAAATATTTGTCGTCAGTCTGTTGCAAACAATAATAAACTGATGATAGTTTGAAATAGTGAAGCTATTCTTTATTTCTTACTTTACAATATCAGGAGAACTAACAGTCTTAAATTTATTAAAAAGTATCCAGATTAAGAGAATTATTCGAAGAATTAAACCTACTTATCAGTTAATAATACACCAAGTGAGGAGTCAAACAAATCAGTTAGTGTATACTAACATTGCTCAGACTAATATGTAATTACTACAAGCAATAATGCCATTAACTGGTCTGGTCACTCTTAGCTTTCTTCTAATCTACTTCTACACTAGTGATTGTCACTCGTTTGGATAGACGGTAGCCAGGCATAGGTAACATATCCTAACCATCTCTATTGATGGAAACCTTCTACTTCATCAACTAACTTGTCATCTTCGCCTAGTAATTTGTGCTTAACCTCTGCATTTCCTACTCGGTAGTTCCATGAAACGAGAGTAATATTTTAGGGGCTCTGATGATCAGAAACAAGCAGTCTACACATGTCTTTACTCTTACAAAAAATAAAGTAACATAGAATAGAGTACTTGAAATGTACATGGACACTGGTTGCAGACGAATATCACATCTACGCTGCAAGTAATATAAATTGGTAAAAGTTGTTCTAGCTTTGTGAATCCGTGCCGAGATTTTGTCAGACACCAACCGATTAGCGCTTTTAAAACCTTGAAGACAAGAAAACTGGTCAACGCGCGCAGCTCATTTAAAATTGAGTGAAAAGCCTTTAGAAGAGTTATAGAACCTTTGCGAAGTGAATTAAATTAGATCACAAGTTGCTTTTTATCTTATAAAGAAATATGCGATAATTGTTTACTGAGTCCACAAAGTGATTATTCCATTGTTTTTTTTTTCGTTCAAAGTTTTAGGTTATTCAAAACCGGACATTTCGAACTGACCAAAGAGCAATTTAGAAGTTACAACAACACAATGCAGCTGTCCTCCTGTAAACCAAACGTTATAACAGGGATTCAAACACATCTACCAAACTAAAAATGAAAAGACTAAAAAAATAGGTGTAGCAAAGGTAATCTAACACAAATATCCAGCAAATGAAATATATTGATTTATATCAATAAAAGAATAGAAAAAACAGTATACATTTTTAATACAATATCGATTTCAAATTGTGTGATTATGAATTCTAAAGCCTTTTTGTCACACTGCTTAAATACTACCAGTGAATAACGTTAATTGTGATATAGCATGAAATAAACTGTCAACTAAATAAACTATTCGATATTTAATTAAGTAGCATTTCGATAAAAATATTTTATTATGTAATGAAAGGACAGTGTGTATATTTTAATTAAAAAAATTTGAAAAGCTTTAATAAGATAGATATTCCAAATGTAATATTAATATGTGACTAAAGAAAAACCAACCAAAACTATTTCTGGATATTGCAAACAATTTTATTACCTTAGAAGAAATGGGTCTGATAACAATTCATTAGCGTCTGCACGATTGGATGGTTCAATGATAAATGTTTTTAGTATGAAGTTATTACAAGCCGTTGAAACTCCTTCGGGGATTTTAGGATGTTGCAAATCCATGCCAACTCGATATAACGCAGTCATTGCATTACCAAGCTGATTTTAACAAAAAATAGAATAGACATTTAGGGAAGCAAAATAGCGGAGAAGTAATAAAAATCACTACAAAGGGAACAAATTACGTGAATTTTTAAAACTAATCAAAACAAGTAATAAGGTAACGGTGCAAAAAGTAATCCGACACAATTGATCAGCAGCTATGTGAAGTCATGAAAACAACAACAACTGATCTAGGTGTTTCATATTAATTAATAAAAGAAAGTAAATTATGAGATAGCAGATATTATTAAACATACCAATATATACTTCAACAACAGGAGATCATTACGTCATCTCCACTTTATTGAGTCATGTTATTCAAGTTATTTAACCTGTATGGGTTTAAAAAGTCTGAAATGCACTGAAGGTATATTCTACTGAATTTTTTTAGGTCCCTCATAAAAAGAAAAATTCACCATGGCTCTACAGTTTAACACAATTCATTGTTGTCATATCTATTTTTTTTTATTACTGAACAGCGATATCAAATTAGCTTCGTAAACGAGTCAGAGTGGTAATTTGTTTTCGTCGTACAATTAATTATAAACTATTTTAGATTATAGACAGTGTAAGTTCTTATTTCCTGTAAGCTATTTCACTTTCTAATACTGTAGTTTATATTCATCAACAAGTTTGTCACGTAATCGGTTAACAGTATTTTCTATTATCAAGATTACATGAAAATTTGATCTTCAATGGATGCAATCAATGAAGAATGTTCAAAGTAAATGAAGCGATTAAGAATATTGTGCATTTTCAGTTTTAGATCAGTAGTGTTTAAATAATCATCTTAGTTTTCTTCTTCATATTTGTTTTGCCAAATATCTAGACTAATGTTAATTCCATTATAGATGAGAAGATAAACTTAACCCACATTTTCAAGCAAAAATCCGGCAACAAGCATAGGAACTAGTGTCAATGAAGGATGCACGATTGGGTTAACACGTGACTTCAACAGATTTAAACCAAAGGCGCATATAGCAGAAAAATATTTTGGTCCAGATTTCTTTTCGCTATTCTATATACAAGTAGTAATTACAAAAGATGTAAAAGTTTATGAAAAAAAATTATTTAAGCAGTCTTAAGTATAAAAGCTGATCGAATTCACTTCACTGTTTTTAACAGAATTGTAACAGTTGGATCACAAAATTAAAATCTAGTTTCAAGTATGAATTTCTCCTTAATCAACAGGTTAATCAAGAAATGCTATCTTATATAAATAAGATCGTCATTAGTATATCATGTATATGGGAAATCTATTTTCTCATTTGTTTGGTAAGTAAAATGTTTGCCTAGAGGAATAAATAGGATTTGATAGAATTTTCATCTGGTATCACAAACCTTACTTCATGATTTAAACATTTTATTTATATGTTTACAAGACTATTTTGAGATAATATCTGTGTTGTATACCTGAGATTAGTGGATTGTCAAATATTTATTTTCAGAAACTACACATTGGGACTTAAAATTACCATAATCTTTTGACCATATTACAGACCTAATCTATAGAAACAATAAACAGTTGAAGCTTGGACAATATCAAAAAGAAGAATAAGAGTTAACGAAATGAACTGGCAACTTGGCATACGATATAAACGACAAGACTTTTAATGAGACGTAGTTTATGAGGTCAAACGGTTAATTATCATTGTTAAGTGTATGGTATGTCAACTCGTATTTTTTTTAAATTTTTAACAGGGTTTATTAAAATAACCAAAAACTTTTTTCAAATTTTCACAGCGTTTTTTTAAAATTTTTTATGATCCTTAAAAGATTGAAGATGGATACAGAGTTAAAGATGTTACAGAAGACTTTAATTAAAAAATAGCATTCTTTTTTATTTTTTCAAAAGGATTTTAAAAAATGCTGTGAAAATTAAAAAAATTTTTTGTTATTTTAAAAAAACCCTGTTAAAGATTTAAAAAACGAGTTGAAATACTATATTAACTAACAAGATCTTTACAGATGTCACTGTAAGATAAACCAACCCTTATTTATGAAGCTTAAGAGATAGCACCAACATCAAGTCAAACAGAAAAAAAGTAACGAGAAAGGAATATGTAGTGAAGTAGATAAGATACGTTTTAACTAAGACGAAAGAAACAAACGTTAGTTACTATCAGACTCGATAATAATCAGAAATGAAAGTATAAACAGATCTGTGCTAAAGCTATTCATTTGTTTTTGAATAGGATTATGTGACTCGATGTGACGTAACTTTCTTACATATTCAGTGTACACTGAATATTCTTAACCTATCTATTCCATGAGAGATTATTGTGAAAGTTTGTTTTTTTGAGTTGGACGTTTTGGTTGTGGAGCTTTCGTCAACCTAAACCATGAACAGAAGTAAAATCAAGCGCAGGCATCAACAAACATACCATCCTACCATATATGCATAAAAGACATGCCAGAAATTATAACGAGATTACTGGAGCCGTTTTGAAAAGGTATGGCACACAAAGTAGCGAAATCACTTCAATAACTCTTGTGCAAACTAACGGACTAAATGGCAACAGAACAAAAATCAAACATCATATATGAAATAAACCACTGAGACTGTGGAAAACAGTGCATTGGACAAAGTTGACGGCCCCTTCAGTTGCACCTGTGTGAACATTTATGACCAGTCAAGCGTCAATGATACACCTTACCTAACATTAATACATGATCACAACTACTGACACACATTGGACTGGAAAACTGTTGAATTGCTGATAAAAGGAAATACGAAAAATACTGAAGAATTTTTTCGAAGCTTACCACTCAGGTCAGTCAGCGATCAACAGACACATTGAAATCGATCCAATTTGTTAAGTAATCAAAAAAATTAATTGAAAAATATAGCTTCAAGAAGCAAATCAAAGGCCAGGGATACATTCAAAATAAAAAGGAGGATAACGGCAGAATAAAAGTCAATAACAACCAATGAAGATAGAGTTTGACAGACTACAAGTTATATGTGGGGTATTTCGAATAGTTCACTTCTACCTGAAGTTTGTGCTGATGATGTTGTTTAGAAAAAGAAACTTCTCAATCAACACATCCAGCCAAGAGAACGAAACTCCACCACTGTCATCCATCCGAGCTAAAAATTCTCTTCATCATTCCAAGGGATACTTTTAACAATCAATTACCTTCTATGAATCGATGAAAATGACTATAACAAGTGTCTGCTGAGTAAATACAACAATAGGAAGCTAAGGTTAAGTTTATTTTTCAGTCACATTGAGTACCGTAACTTGTTTCTTTCACTGTAGTTACGAATCCAATCTTCATAGGCCGCATTTTATCCACTAAAAGGGTTACTAGTTTTCGTAGCAAGCGATTTATAAAAATAGTAATAATCTCTCTGATGTACTCAGATTTAGGGTGTTGATGAGGCCTCAGGACTTTGCTGTGTTGATAATACAGCGGTAAACATTTATTAAACTGAATTATACCTGTAATTTGCATGTTAAATAGGTTGGCCTCGCAAGCAGTCACAAGATATATATCCATCCAGAGAAAGATTAGAAAAACATTAATCTTCATCAAATCACTAATTGATTAGAAATGTTTTTTTAGACGTTTCATATATTACCTCACTAAACGGTTGTTTTCCTGTCAGCATTTCGACAACAGTACACCCAAAACTCCATATGTCCGCTGCGAATCCACAACTTCCCCTGATAAGTTCTGGTGCCATGTAGCGCATAGTACCTGAAACAATAAACATTCATAATCGCAAAATTTATTAGTTACGTGAATTTAAGCATGTTTATTTTTTTAAGGAGAATTATAAAGTGATAAAGTCTGAGAATTAGCTATTTATTTGAAAGTAAATCTTCAATAGCCATATAGTGGACAACTATAATTGTTTCATTATGATTAGTAGATAGAGATAAAACTTCTTTGCTTTTTGTTGAAGTTGCTATTAGTAAACAAAACTCAAACTTATGCGATCATTGCCTGGTTTTCTTTCCAAGGGTAATATCAAATACCAAGTATTCCGTCAGTCATAAGGAATATAGATCCTAGAACATAAGTCCATCGCTTCAATTTACGACATCACATCAGCATATGGAGACGAAATCGCAACAGTGTCACTAAAGGTGATAGTACTAGTGAGAAAAACATTTTGTAGCCAATATAATTCCAGAATAAAGGAATGAATTTGAGAAACAGACTAGTAGATAATTATGAAACTCAGAAAATAAGCGAAGAATAGGGGTATATATACATACATACATACATACATACTAATTCATAAATCTTGTCACTTTAATTATTTTTTAACATGTCTGATTACTATTTTTTTTAATACGGATTTCTGAAATAAAGTCAGTTCAAATTATTTCGAAGCAATTGATGTATCAATTCTGTCAATAACCAGTTTTTATTTTTCAGTCTAGTGTTATTAATTTTTAGTGTGATTACGCAGTTATATCTGAATAAAATATCGTTGCCGCAAAAGCTTCATGAATCGTAAAAAATAAATTAAAATCAATCTAATCTTGAATTTTTATTAGGGAATAAAATCTACAAAAAAAAATAATTCAGGAATTCAGTTTTGAGCAAAAATTCATGTTAGCCAAATCATTCGTGAATACATTTTCGAAATAAATGATTGATTAGATTATTTTCTAACATCCGTTTGATAATACTAAACTCGAATCGATTATCAAATGATATTTACTAGTGTTAATCACACCAGTTATTATTTTAAGATGGTTTTTTGACCAATAGGTATAATCGATTAATAGATGATAAAACTTTTTTAGATCTATAATGACATATTGTTTTCTCTAGTTCATCAAATACATGGTGAAATTTTCATTGTACCACAAGAAAACTGTCCGTTGGTTTAGATAATATCGAATGCAAAATGTCCTATAGTTTAAGATAATTTTTGATACAAAACCCATTGATTTTGATCAATAACTTGGTTGTTTCTAGATTGAGCGTGATAAAGCTTCGAGAATATATATAGAAGAGAATTTCTATTAATAATCGTATTATAGCATATTAACTCAGTAGAGTTTTTTTATTGAGACATTCGTTTATAACTGAATAGTTGCTTTCATAGACACACTTATAATAAGTCAGTGAATGTGTATTTTCTCCATGACTCTCAGTACATCACCGTTATTTTGTATCGAGATTTAAATTTTACACAGTACATAATGTATCAACTCCGCCAGTAGAACCTTCGGGGCTACTGCCGGTCCCAAGCCCGGGTAAACGAGGAGGGTTGGACATGGGGTTGGCGACCCCATTCCGTCGAAATCTAACTTGCCAAAAAACGCTAACCAGAAAAACTAATTCAAACCATTTTAACTCTGCCCTGGGAGTTGGAGGAAGAATTATGACGTCGAGTGATGAAAGCCGAGTTCCCTCGGAAGTCACGGGGCCGATGCCTCTTCTGACAACCAGAGCAACCATTCTTTTAGCTACTGGAACGTTCGTACATGGTGGGAGACTGGAAGACTATTTCAAGTTGCTGCAGAAATGAAAAGATACAACCTCGAGGTGCTCGGCATCAGTGAAACGCATTGCACACAGGTAGGAAAACTGAGACTAGTTTCAGGGGAACTGCTGCTATACTCTGGTCATAAACAGGAAAATGCTTCACATACACAAGGAGTTGCACTGATGCTGTCCAAACATGCACAAAAGGCACTAATAGGATGGGAATCTCATGGACCGAGGATCATTAAAGCATCCTTCAAAAGAAAGAAACATGACATTACAATGAACGTCATCCAATGCACCTACCGACGACTACAATGACGACGTTAAAGATCAATTCTACGAAAGGCAATCAAAGCAGATGTAGAAGCAACTGCGAAAATATTTTACCTCCTCTTCAAGAAGATTTGGGATGAGGAACAAGTACCATCAGATCGGAAAGAAGGATACCTGATCAAAATACCAAAGAAAGGCGATCTCAGCAAGTGTGAGAACTACACAGACATCACTCTTCTCTCAATACCAGGCAAAGTCTTCAACAGGGTATGGTTAAACAGAATGAAGGACTTCGTATACGTCCAACTTCGAGATCAACAGGCCGGATTTCGTAAGGATCGATCATGTACTGACCAAATCGCTACATTACGGATCATTGTGGAACAATCAATTGAATGGAACTCACTACTCTACATCAACTTCATGGACTACGAGAAAGCACTCGATAGCGTTGATAGGAAAACACTGTGGAGGCTTCTTCGACACTACGGTGTGCCTGAGAAGATAGTTAACATCATACGGAACTCTTATGATGGATTCAACTGCATCAGCTAACAGACTCTTTCGAGGTGAAGACCGGTGTGAGGCAAGGTTGCTTACTCTCACCCTTTCTCTTTCTCCTGGTCATCGACTGGATTATGAAGACGTCGAGATCTGGAGGGAAGCACGGTATCAACTGGACACTTAGGACGCAACTGGACGATCTGGACTTGGCAGATGACCTGGCTCTTCTATCGCACACGTAACAACAAATGCAAGAGAAGACGACCAGTGTAGCAGCACTCTCTGCAGCAGTAGGTCTCAACATACATAAAGGAAACAGCAAATTTCTCCGATGCATTGACAGAACTGGAGAGAGAAGCCCAGGACAGAGTTGGTTGGAGAAAACTGATGGGCGGCCTATGCTCCATCGGGGGTAACAGGCGTAAGTAAAGTAAAGTAAGTAAACATGTATCGTTTATTGTAAAGTGAATAAATTTAAAAATATCAACTACTGCAAATAAAGTTTAAACAGTCGTCGTAAGACCTTAAAATTCTGGGTCCAGTCGCTGTTTGTAGATGTACATTGCTTGGTGTTGTACTAAATCAAGACAGCTATCCAGTGCTTTCTAATTTTCATTGATTATGCAAGCGAGATTAGTGTGTGAAATAAATAAGTGATTATATAACGTAGCATAAAATGTGATTTGAAAAACCTATTTTCAATAATAAAATTAAGAAAACATTCTAATAAGGTTACGAATTCAGTGGTATAAGTTCAGCTTGTATAATTACGTGAAAGTTGTATCAAATATTTTGGACATGACATTTACTCACCTTTAAATGTTTGAGCTCTTGGAATTAAGCCTGCTAATCTTTTTGATGCTCCAAAATCTGTTATTTTCAGTTCACCTTTATACATATTAACAAGAATATTATCTCCTTTAATATCTCGATGAATAATTCTGTTTGCATGCTATAACAACAAAAAATAATATAATTCTAATCAATAATAATGAAAAGGAGTAAGAAAAATATTAGTCAGTCAGCTGAAGAGTAGAACTTCATACGTATGTTTATCGGTTTAAGTCGCCATACCACATTAGTACAGGGTTGTACTTGTCGCTCCAAATCCATATTGGTAGATGTAGTAGCAGTATTAAGGGCAACCGCGAAGTTTAGGGTTTAAAGATATTAGAAATACTATATCGTTTTCCTATTATAAATATATTGTAATGTATTACACTCTAAAAATAAAGTAGTTGAGTGCGACCATTTATGCCACATTAAATAAAAGTAATAAAGCTTTAAAGAGTTATAGAGATTTCGTCCTGGTATGGGACACATCAGGGCGCATCCTCGACCCATGCTTCTCGCAGCAATCCAACCCTGGACTAACCTCTGTACCACTGAGCGAGCATCTAATGCTGTCACTATATAGGTTTGATCAATCTAAGGTTTTCGCGCAGCGTTTAAGTAGCAATGGTCGTGGATGCTAAACGGCCGTCCAATGCTTCCAGGTTTTTAGTGGTGGTCTAACGACGATTGATTCAAGTAATAAAGAAGTTGTAAAGTTTTAGAGGTATATGCGTTCATGTATTTTTTGTTCTTCTAAGTTAACAGATAAACAAATAAAGTCGAAATTATATTAAGACAGATCATAATATGAAAACTCAGATACTAATGTCCGTTAATCCGCTTACAGTAACTGTTTTTCAAAGTAGTTAGAATGACTGAACCATCACATAATAGTCTGAATTACTTATAGTTGTGACAGTATGTGAAGGGGTGAAAGTGAATGATTGCATTGTTGCACAGTTTTTGTCCACGGTTTAAAAGCAAAAGTCAACTAAGTATTTGTGATTTTCTCTGTTCTTCAGTACTAGTTGCAATATTGAATGCTGCATAGTTCTTTTTGATTCTTATGCTGAGCCCAGTATATATCTAGTTGAAGAATTTTGGTCGGAGGTCAATGTCCCACGAGGGGTATCTAGCGTATGTAAGTAAGTAACTATGTATGATCTTCTCCATACAGTAACTTTGTCTAGTCTCTCACCCAAGCTACTGCTGTTTTTTGATATGTTCGTAAAAATAGCTACTCTTTAGCATGATCATTAAAAATTAAAAAAAATCCACCTTTGAAAAATCCTAATAAGTTCAATTCCAGGAATGTTATGAATCTTATTATATAGTCATAATAGCAAACTGAATGTAATTTTACTTACTAAATACTGTAGACCTTCCAATATTTGTTTGGAATAATTTGCAACTGTTTCCTCTTTCAAAGAACCATATTTCGAGACAAGTGATGTTAATGATGCTAAAAAGAAAAGTGTATCAATGTTATTCTATAAATGCATACTCAATAACTCAAGTATACATAAAACTATCAACAAATTACAAAACGTTATTGTGCAGCAAAATATTTTAACAAATGTAATTTTGTTAGATATTATACAACCATCATTGAGATTATTGCATTCAATGAAACGTTTTTGGTCAATGCTGATAAGCATAGGAAGAAAGAATGGTTATAAGTTCTAAAAAAAACTTGAAGTAAAGCATTTACAACGATGATGAAAAAAAAACATACCACCAGGAACTAGTTCCATAAATATCATAAACATTCCTTCATGATCCACAGAGCCCAGGTACTGTACAATGTTTTTATGATGAAGTTTTGAATGTAAACGAATTTCATCATGTAATGGTTGAAATTCCCTAAACGGAAAACATAATAGAGATCAGTCATTTACCTATTTGATGAAATGATGCATATTATTTTATTTAGAGGAATATTGTCAAAAATCAAAACTGCAAGTCCTAACTTAATCCGTTGAGAATGACTATAATCGGTGAATGTAGACAATAGTATCGATATATATTCCCATAAAATGAAGTTCACAAACGTTATACTCATTTAGCATACATATCAACTGTTATCTTCTAACTCAGTATTTATTGAAAGGTGAGTTTCCAGTTGAGTCATCCCTTGAAATAGTAGTTACAGATTTGGTTTTATGTTTTTAATGGTCAGTTGAATTTGTTCATTGAGCTATTATTATCAGTCCGGAAGAAAGCATCTAACAAATCTGATTTGTTTATTCTTTCTGAACTCTTGGTTACGTGATACATTGACAACTGAACAGAACTGGCAACAAGATTGATAAGACACAAGCAAATAACAATACTATCGAGAATGAATGATTGGTCCCTAGGTAATAATGTTTAACAGTTTACCAGCGATGTTGCTCCGTTAAACGAGGAAAATTTCACAAGCGAACCCACGAACTATGAGAACAAACGAACATTAGAGTCGATTTGATTACTTTAATGATGCTGAAATTAAGTGTGATTGAAATGGATTGGTGATAAGAGAGTACGCTGATAGTAATCAAATGTTTATGTGATTTCACATAACCACTTTAGTTGGGTCGATTAAGCAAAGTGAATTGTTATAGATTATGATATGTTGATCATTACGCTTATAAAAATAGGTATGTAGATCTGTTCAGACAGAAATTACTTTTCCAGAAACGAATGACTTCTCTGGGCTTTCGAAGGGCGAAGTGGAAAACAGCTTATATACAAGGTCAGTACGATAATGTCTTGTGAAAAAAAGTCAAACACCTTGCTTATAGCAACGCAAAGCATAACTTGTGAACTTTTAATTTTTTGTCTGTTGTTTGTTCGTACACATGATAAACATACATCTGCCGACAGAAAGTTCAATTTCTATTCTTAGCCTAACAAATTTTGCTAGATTGAATGAGGTCATAAATGAAAATATGAACTAGTTTATTCATACCTATCTATTGATCAATCACACTGACACAAGTTTTGAAATAATAAATTATATTTTAATAGAAAAAATATTTTTAAGCCTTGGTTATACTGTCCATCACATTTTAAAATATTCTCTGTTTATTATGCATATTTTACCCGGCATTTGTTCAAGAAACTTTTGTATCAAATTGTTTACAGTTATTAAAGGTGAACTATGCATTGACGTTATTGTATGTGAAACTTGCACATTTATATTGTTCCGGCCAATTTTTCCATTATAATTGTAAACAAATGAATGATTATACTATTGCTGATAAAATTTACATTATGTATTATTATGATTCGAAAAAAATTCTTTTACTACCTTTACACGTATTGAAATAAAAATGTTAAAATATGTTTATTTGATTATGCAATAAGGAAATAAATTAATATCTCAGTGTTAAACGATGATCAATCTTTCATTCACTGTTGCCATTTAATACTATTCTTCTATATTCAAGCAAGTATAGTTCGGAAAAGGAATAATTGTAAAAAGTTTAATAGTCGAAACACTTAGATATTTGAAATGGGAATAAAATCTCTCTCTTTCTATAGTGTAATACAAGTTTTTCATAAATTTGTAGTAGTTTATAAGTGGTTAATTTTCAATCAAAAGCTGATTCGATAAACAGCACTAACCGCCGCCATACATTTGTTTAATGTGAATTAACTTGTTGATCTCGCTGTTAATGCCCCTGGGCATTCTGAGATTAGCGTATTTTTAGAGGTAGGTTTTTTTATGTCTGTTTAAACAACATTATTCGGAAACACAGCTATATCGCATACAAACTATATGAAAATCTTAACTGGAATAGAGTGTAACCGAAGAAAATCACTTTACTAGCTCTACAATATATAATTACTGATAAGAAATGTTGTTGTAATATATCGCTAAATTATCTTTCCAACTCATTGAAATGGTATGCATTCAAACTAATTCATAATATATCACTATTCACATGTATCTGTACATAAGCAAAAATTTGGAAATAAAAATTACACATCGAATAAATAAGTGAACCGGTAATGTAATTATTAATTGACCATACCTAATATTCACTGCATCGATTTCTTTGATAGCAATTTTAATTTGTTTTGTTAGGTCCCAACCGGTATAAACCACACCAAAACTACCTCTGCCTAGAATTTCACGTTGATTACGATCATTTAAATCAAATGTCCACTATGAATGTACAAATCAAATCAGAAAGTAAAACAAAATTACTAAAAGAATCGATTACATTAGAACTATGCTAAAATTTAAGTTCTGAAAAAAAAGTAATATCAATTTTGGTGGAGTATACTTTTGCAACACATTTATAATGTAGTTGGTAGAAAGATCCAGAACTTGTATTCTATCCGTATGAAACGTACATCATAATAAATATTGACAAATTTTGACCTCAAACAGAAGTGAAGCGTTCGAATTTCTCCACGTTTGACCTGTAGCTTGTTCTGCTAACCTAGATACCATCTACAAAATAAATTGCTCAGACTGTGAAAAACATTACATAGGACAAAGTAGACGGCCTCTTCAGCTTCGTTTACGCGAACATCAATTAGCAGTCAAACACCACGATAATTCTTCGCTTATATCAATACACACCGACAACTATGGACATACATTCGTTTGGAACAATGTGGAAATACTGCAAAGGGGTGGACAAAGAACACTAAAGAATTTTTAGAAGCTTGGCACTCAGGTCAATTGGCAATCAATAAACACATCGACATAGACCCAATTTATCAACCAATCAGGAAAATCATAGGTGACATAGGATCAAAAAACAGATCAAAAGGGGGATACAGTTAAAACAAAGGTGCAAACAACGACAGACTTAAGGTCAACAACAACCAATCATGATCGAGGTTAGCAGAACAAGCTGCAGGTCAAACATGGAGAAATTCGAATGCTTTAACTCTATCTGAAGTTTGTGCTGATGATGTTGTTCAGAAGAAGAATAATGAAAGCTCCACAACCAAAACATCCAGCTCAGAGAAGTAAACACCATCACAATCAACCACCTGAGCTACAAATTTTCTCCAACATCTCAAAATTTTAACCTCATGCTTAAACAACAAGAAACTATAAAAACATTGCTACAATATTATCACAATTTTAATTGAGTTTCGAGTAAATCAAAACGAAAACAGCGGTGAATTTCCTTAGAAATATGAAATAAAATAATATTCGAATACTACATAGAAATCACTATTATGATTCTGTTTTGTTGAGATCTCTAATTGATAAATTACACTACTCATGGTTTGTTTTCTGTCAACACTCAAATTCCTCACCCAGCTTAATTGATAACTCAAAAAAAAAGATAACGTACCGAAACAACAGTCTACTATTACTATGGGTTTATTTTAATACAAATTAAGATCAATAAACAATTTTTAGAACTAATGTTAACAATGTAACTAACTATCCTACTAATTAATGGTAACAATAAGCATTGTTTCATCATTCATTATCTAATTTAGCGGATAGATTTGCATAATTATTTTTGATTATCTCTAGATTAAGATGATGATATGAAAAACAACCATATAAAGTTGTGCTCTCATAAAATAAGATAAATATTTCTAATATAAAATCAGTGAAATTTATCATAAGATTATTGGTTTTCTGTTTTGAAAGTTTTTTTTTTCTTCTAGTTTGTTATCAATTTTTTTTCTCTCTAGTTAATTAAATCAGTTAAATTAATCATCATTATTGATATTAAACGTAAATTTCATTCTTTTAACTCTGATTATTACATAAATAAAATTATATTTTCGTCCAAGTAAATAGTGATCTTTTTTCTCTCTCTCTCTCTCTCTCGCTTTATTTTGAATTAATTATATGACCTAGACAGTAAATGTGAATTAGTTGAAAATTTTCAAGTGTATTCCAAGTTGATCTAAAGTTACATTCCATATTCATAATACAATATTATTGATTATGTTACGGGCAAAACAATGAAAATCGATTTATTTATTAATTGAACAAAAAGAAATAAATGAAATGAACAATTCAAAAAAAAAAAACAGAAAAATAAATTAAAATATACTTTAAATGGTTCAGTAGAGTGTTCGTCTAGTAATAAACCAGAATTTTCTTCTTCTGAAAACAGACAGTCACGAAGAACTGTATAGAACCTTTGGAGGAAGAAGTAAAATAATTAAAGAAATTAAGTTGACTTTTTAAGGGAATGAATAGTGACTAAAGTTTCGAAATATATTGACATTATTATATTCAAAGAGAAACACAAACATGACAACACTTGAACTACTGTAGTCTTTATCTTGCTGAACTATTACAACTTTTTATAACCAAGATGTTGCTTCACGTTCCGATAACAAAACAAAAGGAGAAATCGCTCATATTATGATAGACTAGATGTCCGAAGAAATTAATGATTGTGGGATGATCCAAAAATCCAACTGTTGAGAAAAATTCATATCTTCATCTTTACTTCATTCAAATGGAATGAAGTTTAAGCTAGAATTAATAAAAGGATTAAAGCGGTGTTAAATGGAAGCTTCCTTGAAGATCAACTTTGTTTTCGTATGTAATAACTAACGCTGCATAAAGTAACAAAAAATCATAACTATCTCTCTGAGGTCATCTCCTAATATATAAGTGAATTTTCATGAATTTGTGAAAACACGTTTATAGGAAAAACTAAAAGAAGGACATTGACAGGGTATTTGAACAAATCCATTTAAAGCTATAAGTAAAAGGCAGTGAAGTTTGCACAAGTGCTATTTCTTGCCTTTAATGGACGGTGAGCGTAATGTGTATATTACAAAATAATTAACAAGCAAAGAAGACCTCATTTACTCCATTTTGTCACTACTGTCCAGCGTTTTAAACTCGACATCGTCCGTATGAAGGTAGTGTGGTAAACATTTCATCGCTCTGTTGTAATGGTTATAGTGGTGTATTGATTGCCTTTTTTATAATCTTTTTATTTCATTCTGTCAAATCGTACAAACACCTGCTATTATGTCACTTAATTCAAAGGGGATCCTGTAAGATGTATTTGTAAATTAGTGTGCATGTGAATGCGTTTGAGAAGTGCGATGTTTACAATGAGGACAACTAAATTAACGTATACTTATGGAAACGTCTTGCGCAATGATGTTACTAGATTAGGTAGGTAGGTATTTTGATAGAAATACGAATTCATAAACTGGTCAGTTTTTTTAAAAATGAGCAATCCCTGCCGTTTTAACCGAATATGTTCATACAATCCCTGTAGTCTCATGGTCATTGTGAATCTCCAGTATACGGTTAATCAATGGTATACAACGAAGCCAATTCTAAACGACAAAAGTTACGGCACAAATATTGAAATATAGTTAGGAATTAGTATAGGAAGTTAGGATTAGGTGTTAGATTTAAATCATATCCGGCTCATTATTCATAGTACAATAAATCATTCATTTATCTATGCAGTCCGTTCGTTAGCTAAAATGGCTAACACCTTGAGATTGTTTGGCTGTATAATTTATGTATATCGAGGAAAACAATAATCCCTTTTTCGGAATAAATTTTGTTAATAATTATGTATGAGATATATATTGTATGTTAATATTACAAAATTTACCAAATACATGTTACAATGTGTATAATTCTGAAGGTCAAAACTCATAATTAATCAAAAACGGCTTAGTTTATAACGCACAATCTATGACTAATAAAATTGAAACATTATTAGTTTAATAGTTGAATAGTTAACATAATCATCTACCATACACAATATTAGTCAACTATCAAATATAAACAACACTGTTTTAATGATCTAATCTTTGAAGTTTAAAATAACCAGATACATGTTAAAATATTATTTATTATTTTTTTACTCCGAGTATCACTGAGTGATTCTGTCATCTAATAAACCTCAAAAGCATCACGTGCAAATATATAAACTAATTCATAATAATTTCATATATATTTTTGTATTCTACAATTAGTGGGGTCTTTAAAGCTTATAAAGATAATCAATCTCATTATTAGTTCATATACATTAGTGTAATTCGGAAATTCATCTGATTATATCAAAGTTAAGTGAGTAAGTTTTCGATATTGTTTTATATCTAATATCGATTTTTAAAGTGTTTATTCAGTGTTTAATCTAAATAGCACCATATATACTGTACATTAGCATATATATATATATTCTATCTCATCTGGCAGTAGATGGAAGTCAAGGGATTTAATATTTAGGTTGAAGTTATCAAGATAAAGTCGTTGATTAAAACTTACTGCATTTTAACTTTTTCACATGAAAATGATATTCGATAATTTGGCAGAGAACAGGTTGTGTATAAGTAAACACTACGACTATTATTTTCTGTCATGCTGAAAAAAATAAAATATAAAATAAGTGAAAATTGAATCAAGGTAATGGTAACATTGCAGTTGACATGAAAAGGTATAGAAGTAAAACTAACCAATGTGTGCATTAAATTATATTCACAAGCTTACAGGAAATATAACCTACCTGCTAATATATTTTATTAAACTAAAACAGTTGTGATCAGATATCGTCTCCGTAATAATTGAAATCTCAAAACACCATATAATACCAGTGTGATAATGAATTAAAAAAAAAATTTTTTTCTACAATATACTTGTACTGTTTTATTTGTAATTATCTTTTTCTGGATACGCCTTACATTATTGTATCAAATAATCTAAATCTCTTAGACGCTCATCCAAGTACCAGCAGTTATTCATTGGATTCATTGTGATACTTGATGCTGATTAATTGTTTTCTAAACGAAACATTCGAATGGAGATAAAAGTTTAACAGCTACATACAAAATAATCCAATATGTATTACATAAATGAATATTAACTTATGGAATTTTTACTTACTTTATACCGATAATATCTTCAGCGTTAAAAATTAAATCTTCATCTTGATCATGCGCATTGAAACGTGGAAAATGTTGACGCATAGATCCACAGTTTTGTAAATCAACTGATTGTACACTTGTAGAAATTGTATAGTCTAGATCATAGAAGATAACTCGAAGATTTCGTGGGAAAGCATCTATATTGACTTGAATATTTGCCGGTTTCATAACGGTGCAATTTTGTTCAGTTACCAAGACCGGGTATACTATTCGTTTGGTATAACTCTCATATGGTCTCACGAAAGAGTCAGTTTCTGTTTCATCTAGAAATTAAAATTGAAAAATTAAAGATGTGGTAGATTTTTTATTTTTGCAATGTCTGTAATATACCAAATACAGGAAGTTATGAAATATTCCACCATATTAATTTGATCTAACAACATATGAAGAGGCGAATTTACTTGGCCAAAGTGAACTGATTTCGTAGCGGAAATTTCGTATTTATTCCTAAAGTGTTTATTTACCGGATGGAAACCAGCAAATATTTTAGATAATGGATATAAGCGTTGTAGTCTTCGATGTTAAGGGTTTCAAATATAACTTGTAAACCAGATGACTTTATTAACTGTCAGCTGATGTTATAAACATATTTGATAAACTTTTAGAATACTGATTTTTCGACTGCTTTTTATCTAGCGATGACAAATTTATCCACGTTATGAATTTATTGTTTATGCTCTTTTTATTTCAAATAACCGATGTAACAGTCAAAATTCTTAGTGATTGATTGTACAACCCTTGTACGAAAGATTTTTCATGCTGTTTTCATTATCCTTTTGGCTCATTTTGTTTACAACACATCATAACAAGAGATAATATGACACGTGAAAGTAATTTTTAGGTAGTGATCTCTAATGGACTGGAAAATTAGTGACAACAGCAACTATAAATTTTTTAGTGTAGGAGGTCTGTGGAAAGTGTGTATTTTTATGGTTTAAATCATGAACTGATCTAAGCTAAAGCACCAATGGAAACCTGGAAAAGCTCGACGACCGTTCCCTTCTTGTGTGGGTGATGGTCGAGCTGAGAATGATTCATCATTTGAACTACGAAAATACTACAGTTTACACAAGCCTTTCATAACTGAAAGTAATTATGAACTTATTGGTGACTAGCTGTAGGATGAAACTCCTGAAATTCTAATGAGGAGAAATGACCAAAGGAGTTCAATCAGTGTTGGGAGAACGATGCCTGTTAACCGAGGGAAATGGACGAAGGTCGTGTAATACTGTAAATCCACTGACGTTATACACAAACACGACAGGATGTTGCTCAGTTGCTGAACGTGCAAGCCAGGGGTCGGGGTTCTGGGTTCATTACTAGGATACGTGAGTACGCACTACTAAGGTGTCACAAACCAGAACAGAACGGTTCTCAAAGGGCCTCAGGTCTACAATAGTCGTGTAGCTAAGATCAGTTTCTGACCTTAAACTGTGGAAATTATGAATTTGTTATTAGTAGGCTTAGATTGCTGACGATTATAAAATCGATATATAAGTAAACAGGTGATATATGAAATTAATTTACTAAAATTAGTGATGTTCTGTTACTAAAGTTTTCAATCATTTGAAGTATGATATCCAAATATAATAACACAGGTAGCTACAAGCTAAAAATTTAGTTAGAAAACTGTGAATTATCAGGTTTTTAACAGTTTGTACTTTTAAATGAATATCTTCAAACAAAAAATCACTTTATCTAACTATTTTTAAAATTATTTGTCACCCTACTTTAATCTTCCATGTCGCTCATTGATATCTACTCTCACAAGGCAAAAGCAAGAAATACTGGAATGGTGGAGATTCTCAGCTCAGATGATTGCTATTTTTGGTGTTTGTTCTTCAAGTTAGACGATGCAATTAAGGAGCTTTCGTAGTCGTCCTTAGCAGAATATAGTTACATAGACAACATGCTTTATTCTTGCCAATTATATGTCTGCCGAGGATGCGAACTCATAATTTATCCAAAAGACTTTACAACAAAAAAACCTACTGAACCAAGTAATCACCCCACTTATTCTTAAACTAATTTCATTGATAAGACTAAAAAAGGTAAAACTAAGAAACTACACCATAATAATGTTTTTGGTCTTTTGACCCCTTTCACTTCGTCAGAAATAGAGCTCAAGAAAAATGCCTGATTCTAGGTAATTAGGAATCAGAAGAAACTCACAGGACTCACTAATATATGACTATCAAGTTTAGTAAAGCTTCTAAATTTGTGTCTTAGCAATTATTTATAGTTGAGTAGTCAAATTCTAAAAGTGACAGAAAGAAGTGTAATAAGATCGTCTACATCAGAACATAACACTGAAGCTGAAACGGATACGAAATAAATTATATAAACTGAGAGAAACATTATTCAGATGGCCCCTTTGTTAATGCATTAGTGAACGTAGGTAAGCTGTGAGGTGGTTTGTTACGGTATCATTGATAATAATTTATTCGGACAACCATCGGTATAAACTCAGCTTCGTAAACTTCTCAATTCAGAGCTGAGGAAGAACCAACAATATCAAGAAGCGATTAAAAGAATATCTTTCAGACAAACGTTCAATAAGTAGATACACTGACAGAGTTCCGATCCATTAACATATTTGGAAGAGGTCAATTAGTCACATAGAAGAGACGATCAGCATGTACTGAAGAATAAATAGAGACAACTAATCACGAATCACTTCAAAACAAACTGAATTTACATTTGAGGAATAACTGAAAAGCCCATTTTCTAAATGAAGTAGACACTGATGATGTCTAAAATAACTTATCTAGCTCACACGGAAACCACTCATCTGCGGCAAAAATCGTCTACATGATTTGGATATGATCTGGTGCTTGTCATAGCAAAACAGACTTTCAACGGTTGAAGGAAATTACTTTACCAATAGAATATGTTGTAGCAAAAGATAAATGAAATAAATTCCAAGAAAAATTTATTTTGAATTAGATCATCAGTACTCAATATTTTGCAAATAATGTGGTCCAGTTAAAGCAGATTGGAATTTGTTTTAAAGCAATGTTATTTCTTGATATAACGAGAATAAAGGTTGTCATTATTGAAGCCAATATTTTTTGCATTCATTCACTAACAATTTTGGCTAGGGTGAATTGCTGTTAACTTCGTTCAGTTCGGTAACTGTATTCTCAACATAAATTCAGCTGAACTGTAGTGTATGTAATTACAGTTATTCTGTTCTTTTTTCCTCTAAATGTGATATTACTGTGTGTAAAATTTATTATGCAGGTAATTCTATTTTGGTCTAATGATTATGTGACTATCGGCATAATTTCCGGGACTTAGTTGTAGACATGCTTTGAAGAGTTCAGAAATTCTTAATCGCACTAGTCTTTTGCATTCTTACTTCCCATCAAAGTAATTGCAGTAGTTCAACTTTCAAAGTATAATCGATAAGACTGTGGATCCAGCAGAGTGTGTATATATTTACCAACTACGAAACGCCATATTTAATGGAAGGGCCTCCCAAATGAAATGGTGGTAACCCAGAATTACCATTTTTAGTCTTTGGTTTAGCTATTCCATTAAAGTATCAACTATAACTTACCCGGTACAACAAATAGGGAATCACTGTCGTCACTATCGCAAACAGTGGATAGAAACTCCATCCAGAAGTCGAATAGCTATAAAGTAAGAGGCGTATGAAGAAATAATTACAATTAGCATGCGTATCGAGCACACACAAATATGACAGTAAAACGGATAAATCTAATATTAATAAAACCGTTGGCTAATGTCAGCCATATTGAGTCGGATAATTATTCGTAACAATTTCATTTAATTAAGATTTGTAATTTTGTTAAGTTCGGCTTTCACTCTGTTTTTTCTATCTTCAAGAACCAAAAAATTACTTTTTTTCGCTTACATGAAATATATGGCTTTAAGATAGAGAATTTCTTGACGAATATTTCACAGTAAAATAATCAGTAATCATTATTATATTAAATGAAGCCTTTCTCAAATGGACTGAAGTTGAGTGTGTGAACTCATTCGATTTCACATGATTTTATACTTTTTACTTAAACAGTCAGCATCTAGTCTTAAAAATGTCTAGGAAATCAACTAAGTGAATAATCTGAAACCGTGTACATGTATATGATCACATTATTTCAATTTATTCCTACGATTATGGTTTAGTAATACTGTAAAATGAAATTATAAGAAATAGTTAGCATTAATTTTTCAGAAATGAAACAGAATAAAGTCAAGTGTTTGACTATACAAATCCTGTTAGCTGTTAAGTTTGACCATTTAAAAAAAGTGATTTTTGCCTATAGTATTAGTAATTTTCTAGGTATGTTAGGAATATTTTTTTAACACATACAATTTTACATAATATTACTAATAGTATACCTATTAAATTGGACGCCAACATCTTATTTCAAAGTAGCTTGAAAATTAGTAAAATGATGAAATATTCTTCGTAACAATAAAATATATGTGCCAGTAGGTAAGTTCAAAATTGAATAAAATAGTTTTAAAACATCATCTCATTTTTTGTACAAATAAAAATACATTAGTACTCACTGTGAAAGAGCACTATTTTTTAAAGCTTTAAGTACTATTATACAAGATGTCTGACAACGATATTAACATTACCATAATTATACTATTTTAATAATACTACTTAATTTCTACTGAAAACATTGGTATAAATTACTGGCAACAAATATAAAGCTTAAACAACGATTTTAAATATATTATTTAGATTCCTATGCTCATATACACGCTGGTATTTACTGGAGGAAATAAATGTTTTTAAAAAATAAAAATAAATAAATACAATGGTTGATGATCAATAATTTCTGCTCTCATTTCGACATGATTTATTTCATTACTGTGAATTTATCTCACTTGATCGGATTATTAATTATTTATGAAGTATCTTTAAGCTAAATATTTTGGTCATATATAAAAACTGGATGAAAATACCTTTAATTTTTTGTTTGCAAATTTACTTGTGATCTTACACAATGAAAAAATGTTCCAAACTAATCATTGAATATTAAATAAATAGATAATATAAGCAAAGTACCAGAATATCTGTATCGTTTGATTTTTAAACAAGCGATCAGTATGTAATTTTTTCACCGTTTATCAGTGAGAACAATGATTTACCGCAACTAGGATAAATCTTATATATATATATATACATTCAGTTTCCTGTTTTCAGTGCTTTGAAAATAATCTATTTATACGCAATAAGAAACAGAAAAGTAGAATGATATTACATGAATTTCCCTTTTCAAATTTTCTATCTGAAGAAAAACGTTTTTGTGTAATATAGGTTGTAATCAGGAATAAAAAAGTTTTGTCGCTTATATAAGGAGAAAACCATTTAACTGAAGATTAAAAATACCTAACCATGGCTTACTTTGTGCAATAAATAATGTGAATTTAGGCAAATATTTATTATGAGTTTACAGAGGACTGAAGGATAACATTAGTTATATTTTAAGGTGATATCTTGTGATGGAAGCTAGCCAGATAACATGCGATAACACAAACGAAGTGACATGGTTAAAGATTCTCCAGCAATCATGTACCACTTGGGTTAAAAACAGTTGGCTTTACAAAGGTGTGGTGCTTACAGTTCCACATTACAACTTGGCTTTAAGACATGAAAGACTGATATCATTTTCTGCATTATCTATCTAATTTTAGCTTGAGTGTTGAGTTTTTTTCAGTCATTTATTTTAGAGCGATAGTAGTAGCCTGTTAAGCTATTGCTGGTTTCAGAAGTTCATGTATGACAGGAAATTGTATCATGAATTCAGTGTTTTGAATCAAGTAAAAGATTAATATAAATAAATTGATAAGAACAAGATTTGCACAATAACATGAATACATTATATTTCCTAAGTTTTTCATTAGCTCTAAAACGACCTAAATTTACATTAATACACAAAAACAAGAGAAACTTTAGTTCTCTATGCTTTATCTAGACAATATTAAAGGATCTGCATACATAAACTAATAGATTTATGCTTTTCAAAGAAAGCATTACAAATTACAGTTAAGCTAATGTTACAATGACATAATACCAATTAGTTGAAATATTACAATTAGGTTGTTTTATTTTATAGCGATCATTAACAAAATTGTTAAGGAATCTTATTCTGAAATTTAAGGCTTAGTATAAATGTTCTGAAGAATGAAACATAGTTTCAACCTGAACACGGTTAATTAGTACTATTTCATTCAGCCTTAAATAAACATCTCTGCTATCTCAATTAGTTATTGTTAAAAGGAAGTTTAATTGTGATGTAACCAGTAACAATATAAGTGTACTTTCAACTGAGAAATTCTAATTTTTCAGTATTTCTGTCTGTCCATTACTTTAAAATACTATTTCGAGTTGTTCCGTTAGAAACTTGTAAAACAGGTGAACAAATGAATAAAAGTTCAAAGTTCGATTCTTTTAGAAATCACTACATCTCCGGTTTACTATGGTACTATTAACTTCTATACATATTTTTACCTGGTTAATAAATTGTTTACTTAAGTAAGTGGGTGTAAATTTTTATCGTTAAGTGATTTACGAACATATGCATATCATTTGTTACTATTGGAATAGAGAATTTGAAAATGATATTGTGTAAACTACCATGTTTGAAAAAGGGTGATTAATGTACAATAAGATTTGGAAATATTTTTTGCATACTCTGAACACTACATGATATCTGTTCACACTGAGATCATAGTGTGACGTGAAGTAAAAACCAAAGATTTCAAATTATATCGATCTATGTTTTCGTCTCAGGTTCACTAGCTTAACTGACAGCTGGAGATAGTTCATTGTAGAAGAATGTGAAGTTAATTAATTGTGGCATGGTAGTTTATTCTGTAATCAATTTTAATCTTTCATTTAATTTTATTGTTCAAACATTATTACATCAAATATATCAGTTTGAACAATTAGTAAAACTAGTATAAATAATTACCTAAGGAAACTGAGAAAATATTGTCAACTTTTATTTGCGTTCAAATTTGAACAGGCTAATTTTATTCCCTTTATCAGAGCTTCGACCAAATGAGTTCAGTCTTAACCAAAAAAAGCGAATTGATACTTATTTAATTAAATGTTTTAAATAGATTTGTTGGATATTTTCAATTCAGTTTATTTCAAAAAAGAAAATTTCACTGACTTGATTTTAGACATTTTTTTAATGGATGAATTGTAGACAAAGGTAAGCCGTGAATTTAGGTTAGCTAATTAGTTGAATGAAACTTAGAAATAGTAAGAATGTAGAAAACATATTTCAAGTTTCTCTTGCATTTTCTCTTTTCATCTACTAGGATTTAAATCTTGTTATTATTTGATATATGACTTAAAGGCATGTCTATCAACACGCAACATTGAATGAGTTGGATATCTGAGTGTGTTTTTTTGTAGCTAGTACAGTTATTTGTTCTTTTGTGATATCTATATCAACAGATGAATAGAAGAGGTAAACACTGAGACACAGAACTGTATACCAAATAAACTTAGGCTTTTGATAAAATATAATGTGAATGTCATAATAATGAATCAAACCGATGTGTTCGATGTGAATAAAATTCTTAAATTTATCTTAATATTGAAGATATTGATTTATTCAAGAGTTTATTTGACAAAAACGAAACACTCTGTTCAGGTTTAGTATTTTGTATGTTTTAATAATTGTTCTAGTTTATAAATAACAGCTCACTCGTAAATATCAACTTCATGCTTAAGAAAAACAATACAATGTTTTTTTGATATATTGTGAAATATCAATTTGTGTAAGCAGTTTACTCTAATTCAATCACTATTATTTGTGATGATTATTCAAAATAAACAATATAAATTCGTATTAATCCCACAAAAATGTAAGAAAATTTATTTTTACTTTTTGCGGCTTTGCAATTTTGTTTTCTTCTGGCGGCTTACGAAATTTGCAGATCATTTTTATGTTGCCTAAAGTAGATTCCAGTTGCCTATAAATAATTTTAAAGGGAGAGAGAGAGTAGAGAAGGAGAATTATTAAGAAAAATGTATCACTTTATTAGGCATGTTAAATTCATGTTGTAAATAAGCACATTCATATAAATTCCTCTAACAAGAAAGTAACTCATCTTTAAGCAAAACATTTCACACTGAGGAAAATATAAATGAAAACAATTAGAAGAGAAAACAGACATATCACTTAAATATTGTAAACAGAGAATGTTGTTATATGACCAAAAAGTTTACGATCAATGAAATTAATTGATGAGCAGAGAGTAGCTGCTGTTTGGTAAAAAAATGTAATTAATTTAGTACAAAATTGTGTGAATGGAAGTATTACACAGATGGTTAAAGTTAAATAAACATTGTACTATTATTTGCTTATATTATTTACCATATGTAGTTAAATAAATTGTCCAAAATAATTGACATCTAAATGAATGAAAGCATTAGAAAACCGTGTTAATCTCAAGACAACCAATCTGAATCAAGTTATCGATATAGATTTTTTTGGAAATGGTCTAATATTATTAGGACAACGGACTGATCTTAGTTAAACAGCCATTCGAAACTAAAAGCCATTGGACAGTTGTGTGTTGCAGTATGTATATTATTGGATATTAACTCATTGATGTGAAAGTTAAGTGCTGTCATCTAAAACTGTAGTTCAGTGCTTGGTGGGCACGTGAATGCACAGTGCTAAAGAACATCATGTTAGAACGAAATGTCTACCTCCCGGTTTTCAGGGTATGTTTACTTTACATCAGCAGGTGACCCCAAAAACAAATCAAGTTATTCATCGTTAGTTGTATACTTTTTAATTTATCTGGCTTTGGCGTGTATATTAAGTGTCTTATCTAATAACAAAAAGGTTTCTCACAAGATCAGATCAATTAGTATAATTTTAAACATTGAGAATGTTTGATCTACCATAGATTTTTCATCATAGAGTTATGGAGATTGTTGTTTGTTACTGAAATCATGAATCCATGATTGTTACACCACTGTTAGAAAGCTGAAAGTAGTGGACAGCCGTTTAGTTCTGGTACGGGACTCTTCAGCAGAGCGCATCGACGACTCCTACCACTCGCAGTATCTGAACACGTCACCTCTGGTCTTGCGCACGAACGCCTAACACTTAAACCAATAGGCTGGCGTCCAACAGTGTTGGTGTCTAAATCTGGTCAACCTAGGCAATTTAGCTCACCCATTTGTCTTCGTTAGTTACTGCCTACACCCGACAGAGCTGAGCTCCACTGGTCACGTCCTCTCACTAGACTTCCGAGAATTTCCTCACGAAGCTAGTCATCAGTGAGGGAAACGTTAAATCGACCAGAGTTAGACAATAATACCACTGGACACCAGCCTAGTGGTCCAGGAGTTAGGCATGCGCAAGACCGAAGGTGATGTGTTCAAATCCTGCTATTGGTAGGATTCATCAAAGCGCACAGACAAAGAGTCCCATACCAGAACTAAACGGTTGTCAATTACTTCCAGTTTCTAATAGTGTTGTAACAATGATTGATTCATGAAATCATTACTATCATAGATTATGAAAGAGTAAAGAATAACTGGAAGCATCATACGTTTACTAATGTAGTCCGATTTCTGTCACTTTGTTATTGAATAGAAAGAAATTACACAAACATTTATTTGTTATATCTCTTAAAATAGTAAAAGGATCAAAAATAAGACTTTAGATTGCTAAAACGATGTTAAGCAGATTTCTTATAGATGCTCCATATGATTATAGAGATCAAACTTCAAGAACACTGCTACTGGGTTAAGACTCACATGATGTTAACCTTGATTTGGGAGTTCAGGGTATGTGAAGAAGTTTGGAATTTTTTCACAGCACATAAAGGCTTTAGACAATTGCTGTCAAAAAATTGTGCTTGATTGAATAGTTTATAGTTTCTAAGAAAATAAACCATAGTAAACCTAGGTAATTTTTATTAACGTTTGGTGGTTTATTAGGAGAGCAATATTATACCTAGCTTATATAAGAAAATTGGTTTTCTCATCGTTTGCCTAAAAGGATTGAATGGCTCACAGTTAGTGTACTTTATATATGTATATAATCTTCTAAAAATGCCGAATTATTTTATTAAGTGTGGTAAAAGTTTGAAAAAATCAACGAATACAAGTACATACAACTCATTTCTGGGAACAATATCCGGAGAATGAACATGTTCAAGGTAGGTATAATGTTTCTAAAAACTGATTAGGGCGAATGTTTGTTTCATAAAAGTGAAATTGAAAGGATTGTGATTTTTTCAAATATCTGGTTAATATCATTTTTGATTTTGTGTATGATAAACAGACTAGAACAATCAAAGTTCTTTATTTCACTATCGACTATAGGGATATGTTTACAAAAAACACTGTTCATTCTATTCTTCTGCTAACCTAAAACTCTACAACATGTTTAGAAAGAAAGGAATTTAATGCTTATCTGGAAACTGTATTCTTACTATTGTAATCACATCGTTTAAATTTACCAAGATCCTCTGACAAAAAGATCAGTAGTTTGTAACAAGAAAGTAAGATTAAATTTAGTATTTACACGACTGACCAGGTGATTATTTCTAGTTATAACTAAACCCTTTCCGTATTGTATATTTATAACCTACGATATTTACCCACAAATATCAATATTTCATTGATTAATTGAACAGCACTGTTGAATGTAGCCAACTAGACTGAATCAAGTGGCCTGTTTATCTGAATGAAACTACCAACAAGAGAACCTAAAATGTTCTTTAGTCATTAAGTATGTGTTATTGAGTTATCAAGTGAAATACATGAGTGACGAACCAATCAATTTACAATCTCCTAGTAGTTTGCAATTATCAACACACATATTATTTGTTGAACTTCAGATTGACAGAAATTTATATGGTGACTTTCAATAAACACCGCTTATTATATACACACACGTGTTTGTGACTGATTTTTTTCAACTGATAGATACAATTATCCTTTTTGGATGTTCTAACTCTAGATGAAATGATTCTTTTGTAAGAATAAAAGTAATAAGTATTACATTCAAATTATTATGATATTATAAAAAGCAACTAAAACACCCTGAGTTGAGTAAATTGGTAGAGATAAATAATATTTCTGAGAAAATACCAGAAACAATTGATCAAAATGTTTTACTTGTGTGTGTAGTTCATCGCTTTATAATAAATATACTTTCTACTTGAAATGGTATGAATTATCAATGAAAAGATAGATGCTGCAATGAGGCACCATGTTTTTAGTTGTATTTCGTTCTTTGAAATAAATTACTGAATCAAAAAGTTGAAAACGTTATGATCTTAAGAATTTAAACCGTAGCTAATTTATCTTGTTCAGACAGGGGAAAGCCACCAAAAACTTTCACATAAGCTGCTTATCATATAGCACGTTTATTAACAATTCTTTTCAGTTCTATCATTTATACAGTAATAACATAAGCCGTACATGAGAGTTTTTGTAGTTGTACATCACATAGTACTTCTACGCATAGTATCACTGAACTACCTGCATATTATTAATTTTGTCTAATTTATCATTACATAAAAAAGTGGAAGAAAAGACAATCACCATCGTTTTAACGAAAAAGCCAAATTACTTTTCATTGCATCAGTTCATTTAAGCAGTACCAAAGATTTATGCTGAGCTCTCACAAAACGCTATCAATAACATTGTTAAATTACAATCATTTTGATGACACTACATACAGCAAATGGTTTGTGAATATCTGAACAGTTGTTATCTATTACATATCCTTTATTTAGCAGGATAACATTATTCCAGAGATGCTTGGTTATAATATTTAGAAAATTCGTATCAGTATGTAGCCTAAGTTATTTTACACTGCGTTTCATTATTTATATTTATGAATAGAAAATTGTATAGCAAGTGACTGTCATATTTTATTCATAGTACAGTCTATGTGGATTAAGAAATTAGGTGTTTTCCAGTCAAGATGTTTGGTAAGTTTAACCGACCAACTTTGATCTACCAATGCCACTTGTAAACTATAGATAACTTTGTCTGTAGCTCATAACACTAACAAAAATGGGTAGCTGCTTATTCTCTTTGTCCTACTATTTGATATTTGTTCATTTATTCTTCGTTTTCATGAAATAAATTTTTTTTGAATGTTGTTTTTCTTTGTGATTATTAAGCAACACTAAGTAGAATTTCGAACCAATAAACTGTTCATACAAGATTTTTATTTCCTTAGTTAATAATTGATCTGTATGTATGTTAAGTTATCTCGTTGAGTAAAAGAAGTAAATACAATAAAGTTAACACATTTTAAGCAAAATATTAAATTAAATAAAGCATACCAATCAGGTGGATCTAAGAGATACATTCGTTCTACAGCTTGAACAGCACCAGCATAGTCTTCACTTATTACACGCACCTCAAATAGTGTGGCCACGTCCCAGTAGTCATTGATTGTGGAGATATTACCTTTTTGGCCAACACGTAAATTGAGCGTATTGCCTAAATAGTGAAGAAGAAATAATGTCCTATAACTATAAACTATCATTTGACTATACCAGTTTTAGAACTAATGAAAATGATCAGCTTTCATTCTTTTTCAGTCCCTGTTAGCTCGGAATGATTTTATGAGTCAATCAGTCGAGAACAACATAGAACTTTGTATGTACGTATATCAGTTCAAGTTGCCATACGACGTTAGCACAGAGATATATTTGTCAATTCAAATCCCATAATAGTAGATGTAGTAAAAGTATTAGAACTAATCGGAGAGATTAGGGTTCAACGATATTATTCAATTAGTAGGATCTAGTGACATAAACTTAAAAACAAAAAGATAAAGTGATGAGGAACTCCAAAGGTTATAGTTTGAGAGAACACAAAGAGTGAATACACCTGCACTATTGCCAACGATTTTGAGCCATATTATTCAGGGTCTCTAACCGTCAGTTACTATCCTGTCGCCCACCCCAACCAGGTAGTCTGCACCTGTCAACCTTGTTCAGTTCACTTGTCAGTGACTTAATCGATTTGAGCCATGTTTTGGTTTGACCGCTCCAAGCTTTCTTCTAACCTACTCATACACTACAAAATATCGCTCCTCGAGGCATTCGATGGTAAGGCATACGTAACACATGTCCTAAACACCTCAAATGATAAAGTTTCAATACTTCATCTGTTGACTTGCCGTCCCTACCTAGTACTCGTTTTCTAACGACAGCATTGCCTACTCGGTTGTCCCAAGATACACGGGCAACGCTACGGAGAGACCTATGATCGAAAAACAGCAACCTACGAATATCTTTTACTCTTACTGGCCATGTTTCACAGCCATGGAGTAGGACGGAGCGAACTGATGCGCAGTACACTCGTCCTTCGGTTAACAAAAGGATATTTCGCCTACTCCATGAGGTTCCAAGTGATTTAGTTAATCTAGAGCCATTCCAACTGCTAACCTTTCCCATGGAGTTTATACTTTAGTAATCACCTAAAATTTTTGAAAATTCTCAAATTCTGAAAAATTCATGTCGATTCGAAAGATGAGAATTACCTAAACATTTAATTAGTCGAGCGGCACGTGATACGAAATTCATTTTAGCTATATCTTGATTTAAAGTGTAGAAAAAATCAGATCTAAAGTGTCGGATTAATTTGTTGTCTCTTGAATAATTAAGACTGAAAATAATTAATGAATACAAATTCTGACAGTTTAATTTTGTCACGCTATTTTTTCGTCTACTCTGAATATGTAGTTTGACAAAATTATATTGTTTTTTATTTTTGTTTAAACTTCATTTGTGACATCTGAATTCAATCTTAAACAAAGACTAGTCGATACCTAAAATGCAGTTGAATTTCAAGGTTACAGCAGCACCAATAAGTTAGTTATTTAATATTTATAATGCTACATTTGCATATCCATTGTAATGATGTGTGTTGGTATTTATCGATTAAACATTGGCATGTAACAACAAAAACAGTAGGTTTAGTGGTACATGTATGAAGTGTCTACTGTTACTACAGTTATCATTATAGATCGGACTGTGAGAATCCTAATATTAATTTCAGTTAATAGAAGCCTAAATAAAATTCTAATTACTACATTTTACGTATCCAGTAAGTTTATATTTTCCTGCGTAACTGTATATGAAGCAATTTTTAACAATAAAATAAATATTTATCTGTTGCATGTATGTTCTCCAATAAATTATACACAAAATTTTGGTCATTAAATTATAAGCTTCAGTATACTAACTGTATATTTTGAAATGTTAGTTTTTTAGAATTCAATAGTTAACATTATATGTTTTATATACATCAGCTTACAAATTTTACGCATTTCTGCACTTGTTTCCAGATCCATCCCTTTGATCACTAGAAGTGTGGCGACATTTACTAAAAGATATTCATTTGCATCAATTTTCAGTCCTTCTCGATAGCCTTGAATGGCTAAATCCAGAGCCTCCTTATCTTCACCACAAGAATCCATAAAGCGATCTTTTTGAATACGACCAAAAAGTCCATACATATCAGCTGAAGGTTTAGCGCATGCTTTTAAAATCTAAATTATTACAAATGTGGAAAATACAATTTGAAATGAGTAAAATCTAACCACCATTATCAAAGTTTAATATTGCGACAAAACAATTTGAACACATAATTAAACATAGAATTTTTAAATACATATTTTACTAATGAAAATAAGCACATAAAAACAGAAAGAAAAAGGATTTCACTTGATCGATAATTTTGTCATAAAGAAAATAATGAAGAATATACCATTTTTGTACTCAACAATAATATAAATGTTAGGTTTCGCTAAAATTCCACTAAAATTATGCGAATAGTGTTAAGGAATTAAAAAAAAACATTTTCATGTGATGTGCCATCAAGTGACACTTTATTATTCCCTGCTGTAACACAACTATAGTAATCAATATTTGACTGTTGCATACAATCAATTATAAAACTATATTTTGTTTATTAAATCACTGTGTACATGAAAGATGCATGTTGCACCAAAAAACAAAAACAAATCATTAGTCGTTGATGTTCTTATTATATCGGAATGCAATAGAGTTTGTCTCTTCATTCACAAGTAATAGTTAGTCTACCTGATGATGTAACATGATGTAATGAATTTTGAATAAGTATATTTTAACTGGAAATATAGTGCTTGACGAATAAATATCTGCAAATATTTTTCCACAAATATCTTCATAGATATTTTAGAAGGATAGGATACAGTCAGATAGTTTAGCATTGATCTTCTACACCATAAACATTTAATTTAGGTGAATTTGTTTTATATGTTTCATTGAAGAAATTCCAACTAATTATCTTGTTAATATAATATTTTTATTAGTTATGTTTCATCTATTCGGTGATATCAAAGTGAATCATGCTTATTTTTCAATCACTTGGAAAATTTTAGATGAACTATTTAAAAAACTTATGCATATAACTTAATCGTTATGAGGATTTATCACCAAAGTACATGTACACACTTTAAAAAAGTGAATTCAAAATGTTTTATGATTCCTTAAAGAAATACCTCTACCGTGAATTTGTGTTTTGAAAACAAACAATTTTACTTGTTCATGAAAATGTAGCAGTATTTCATTGAAAAACATTCATCAAATGTCACAGTTTTGCATTTCTTTAAACAACATCTACCTTTCATAAGTCTTGAATTTTATTAATTACAGTTTTTAGGTTTTTAAACTCAGTGAGAGATAAAGTCAAAAAGCTGTTGAAGTTAAATCATATTCAAAGCATAAAAGGTTTTTGTAAAATGGTTGAAATGATCTAAAACTTGGGCATTTGTTCACGAGATCAAAGCTCCTGAACTCAGTACGCAATGATAGGGTCGTGAATGCACTGTGCCGAGTAATCCCATTTTATAACGCACTTTCAAAATTTTATTGGTGGTTAAACTTATATTGTTTTGTTCAGCAGACTATACGGCTGAAAATTTTACTGACCTACTTATCAATTTTACAAGGGTGTTTTGTTTGTTGACTGCGATTTAGTTTTAACAACTTTGTCACTTTATCTTACAATGAGTTTAAAAATCTAAAAACTGTAATTTACAACATTTAAGACTGTTGACAGGGATATGTTATGTCAAAAAATGCAAAACTTTGATATTTGAATAGTATTTTTGAATGAAATTTGGCTAAATTTTCATGGTAAGGATGAATAGTTATACATCAGCTAGTTGAACATGAACCTCCACATTTAGTAGTTAAACAGTAGCTTCGAATTAAGTAGGCAATAATTCCATTTTGATTTCTCGTCAAAATGGTCATCAATCTATTCAGAACATTTACAGATTGTGATCGTATCATGAAGACAAATGTTTGAAATATTTTTGTTAAAAGTATTTTTTGTTTTACTTGTACAGCTTGTGTAGAGAACAGAAACGGTGTAGGGTGATTAAGAGAAAAAAATACTGATGCAAATGGTTATGATTAATTGATATATATGATACATTACGTGGTTTTATTACAATGCCTACTAAAAAAAACTAGTGGCATTTTTTCAGTCTTTTTATATTTCTATATTGTACCTTCAATTTTTCCTCTTTAGAATTATTTAGAGATTAACTCCGCCAGTAGAACCTTCGGGGCTACTGCCGGTCCCAAGCCCGGGTAAAGGAGGAGGTTTGGACATGGGGTTGGCGACAGAACTGGAGAGGGAAGCCCAGGACAGAGTTGGTTGGAGAAAACTGGTGGGCGGCCTATGCTCCATTGGGGGTAACAGGCGTAAGTAAGTAAGTAAGTAAAATAATTGTTTGTATAAAGTTAAAAATAATGTAGTTTTCCGACTGAAAACAAATTTTTTCTCTCTGTATTTCTATTCATAACATTTGTAACATCAAATTATTTTTGAATAATTTAAAAAAAGAACTGTTTTTCTTAGAAATGTTAACGTAAAAAAATATGCTTGTAATTTATTGAGCTCATTTCAAAATCATGAATTAAATTAGTATTTTCTACAAAAGTGTAAATTTACTTGTTCAGTTACAGCCAGTGCAGCATCTCGATCGCCATTCTTATTACGTCGATGCAAAGCAAAAGCGTATAGATACTGAATCATACATACATTTAGAATGTCTTGATTTAATTTTAAAGCTTTAATTTCTTCGATTAACGTAACCATAGCATCGAAATCCTAGAAAATAAAAAAATTTACTCAAAGCTTTTGAGAAAATTTTATAATTAAAGGAATGAAATAATTTTCTGAAATAGTCTCAAAAAAGGTCGATTATCATTTTTGGCAGTGATTCACCCTTGAGTTAATAAAAACATGGGAAACTTTCTTCGATTTTTGATCGAAAACGTTCTAAGACATTTTAGACTATTAATTAATAAAATCACTTTGATAATGACATTCAATGAAGCTACATTCTTACTTTTTTAACTTTAACATGATGAAAAATTTTATTTAGATCAAATCGGTATTCAAAAAAGGCAATTTGTTTGAGTAAATAATTTTAAGAATTCCTACTTATAGTTTTATAGATAAAAAGATAATCAAACTGGACAAGTATTTCTTGAAACAATTTCGTTCATGAGCTCAGAATAAACCTAAGACAATATGTAGGTGTGCTAGGTGTGTTTTCTAGGGACTCATTACCAAAAACACATATATTACTGAGTCCTAGTTTAATAAATATTGCTATACACTGTGACTGAATAAAGCAACTGTTGACATGAAACTGAAAATTAGAATAACCAGTGGATCGGTCAAATCGAATTTTTAATTAATATTAACACAACGTTAATGAAACCAAAGGAATCACTGATAAGATAGAGAAAATGTGAAAATCATTGACTGCTTTGACAGTTCCACTAATTGATTATTTAATATCTCGTAAGATATGTACTTTTATTATTTCGTTTAATCTCTCTACTTTTGAGTAAGTGTTTTAATCCTTCTGTAATATGTGCATTCATTTGGTCAATATTTCTTTTCTTCAAAATGGGGTTGACAGATTACAACCTAAGTGAAATCAGAATAAATCATGCTTAGGACCTGATTTATTACTTGACTTAATCAATAATGATTTAAAATAATCGTAATTTCTCTAACTAACATTCATTATGTGAATTCATAAGAAAGATTATTTGTTTGTTGTTCGACAAATTTCAGAGCAATATTTTTATTCGCGCACTATCGATTTCATTCGACATAGTACAACTAAAAATGCGAACCAACCCGTCGACTTTTATCTCTCTAAATCAAGTTAGCTAGTCTTCTAAGCATTTATACCTCGCATTGTCTGTATGATAGTAGCAGATTGAGAATAACGTCCGATGAAAGCATCCCTGGATAATCCAATCTACGGCGCATTACTCGAAGACGCTATAAAAAACAAAGGTAAATTAAAATTTGAATATTATGGTTAATCTTAATTCAGTACCATTTACTAGGAAGATAATCTAAAACAGTTTGAAATCAGTCAAATGAAAAAATATCTGATAAAATGAAATTTCACAGGCAAAACTCATGTGTTTTATCACTATTATTACAAGGTATTATAAGATTATAAGAATAATAATCTTAGAAAGTCATTGATAAATTTACTTAACAGTCGGTAACAGCCGACATTTTACGTTGATTTACTCAGAATAAGAACGAAACTAAAGTTTCAGCATTAAGGAAACAATCGTATTAAACATATTTTAAAATCGTATGTCTAATAACTGCATGGAATAAGCCACTAAGGTTGCTAGTTACGAATAAACTGCCAGAAAGCCCATGATACGTTGGAAGCTGTTTACAAAAATTATGCTTTGAATAATTTTATGTATAATCAATCATTCTATCGACTCCTTGATATTCAGTTTGTTTACTATTCAAGAAAAGTATCTTTTTCCTTAAGGCCCATATGAATCTAGAATTGTTTCACTCTTTCAGATGGTTTGTCAATGAATAACAGTCAGACAGCTTTTGATTTACACATTCTAGACTGATTCATGCATTATTTAAACAAAAAAAACCAGTTGGTTTGAACCTACAGCTTTGTTATAGAACAATGACATTTGAGAAAACTTTGTGGATAAACATTCAGTAATTATACGATTCATAATTCCGATAAGCATCTGTGTCGCAGCTCTAAGATTATGAATGCATTTACTGTGTATCTGGCCACTACAAAGTTAACTGAAAGACTTTACAGGCAGTTCATATATTTTCATTGCCTAGAAGTAACTGTCTTCGGCAAAAATTGGTTACTTAGGAATGAAATGTCACTAAAGCGAATCAACTGCATCCATGTTTTCGGTTTCAGTGAACGAGTAAGTCCATCTGCGTTATAACCGTAGTGGAACAATCATATTTTCTAATTTGATTCACTAAAGTGGGCTCCTTTAGAAGGTTTAGTCTTTAAAAGCATAAGTTAATCACACTGCCAAACCCAAAAAACTCATTTGGTATTCCGCGATTTAGCTTCGTTTAGTCCTTTTAGTTAAGCCAGTCGTTGGTGATTAAAAAAATGATGTTTTACAATATTTCAAGCCATGAACGGTTACTGACAAACCTTAGCACTGTGAGAAGAACGTTATGTATACCGAATTTATTGTAGTTAAGTTATTTAAAAATTGGCGATGATATGTTTTAATATTCATTCCTAAGAGGTGGTTGCAGTGTCATTCATATTACTCGAAAATTTTACTGTATGAAAAATTTGCCTCTACAGCTACAAACTGTATTCCTAAAATAGTGAGAAATAAAACTTGTGATAGTCTAGTTCTTTTCTAAATTTTTATGGACTTAATCGAACAGTTAAAATGTGGTATAATCCTATACTCTACACATTTATCAATCATTATATTTCACACTTTAGGGCATTCTTTAGTTCTGTTTCAGTTTCAGACATATTCACAGTACGTCGGTATTTTAGATTGTGTTCCGTTCTTCAAAATTTTCAAAAAGTATTGTTCAGTGACAGAGATTTCAAGCACTTTTTTGTAATAGTATAGTTAAGAACAAGTTTCTAAGTTACAGAACTTAACTTTGGTGGGGTGGAAAAAAATTTACAAAATATAGAAAGGGTTTGAGGTAAATAGAATGACAGCAATAGTAATCGTAATACGGGAGACATAGCTCAGAAGAAATAAATGAATCTTTTGTATTCAATAAAATACGAAGTACAGACTCAATAATTATGAGATCATTTCAAACATCCTCTGAGTTGGTGTGCAATCCAGTAAGTCTTTAACTCAAATTCAAATGTCTGATCATTTTTATTTACTTAATTTAAAACTTCACTGAACCCATCCAACATCGAAGCAGCATCCACAGACTTCCACCAACGATCGAAGAGATCATTATGGCCATTAGAAAAATCAAGAGCGGAAAAGCAGCAGAAGCAGATTACATTTCAACTGAGGCAACGAAAACAGACGTGGTAGTAGCTACAAAAATATTCCCCATTCTCTTCAACAAGATTAGAGAGGAAGAACAAGTACCAACAGACGTGGAAAGAAGGACACCTGACCAAAATACTAAAGATAGGCGATCTCAGTTAGTGTGGTTACTATAGAGGCATCACTGTTCACTACATACCAGGCAAAGTCTTCGACCGGGTATTGTTAAACAGAATGAAGGACTTCGTAGGCGCTGAAATTCGAGATCAACAGGCTGGATTTCGTAAGGATCGATCGTGTACCGACCACATGGCAGCATTACAGATCATCGTGGAACAATCAATCAACCACCACTCTACATCAATTTCATCGACCACGAGAAAGCATTCGATAGCGTGGACAGGGAAACACTATGGAGGCTTCTTCGACACTGCGGCGTGTCTGAGAAGATATTCAACATCATGCTGAATTTTTATGATGGAATATCATGCAAAATCGTGCATGGAGTACAGCTGACAGACTCGTACGAGGTGAAGACCGGTGTCAGGTAAGTTTGCTTACTCTCACCCTTCCTCTTTCTTCTGGTGAAATACTGGATCATAAAGTCGTCAACATTTGGAGGTAAGTATGGTATCCAATGGACCAATCTGGACTTCCCAAATGATCTGGCTCTTCTATCGCACACGCAGCAACAAATATAATAGAAGACGACTGGTGTAGCAGCAGCCTCAGCATCAGGTTTCAACACACATGAAAGGAAAAGCAAGATTCTCCAAAACAACAGAACATGCGTTGGAGGACGTTCACTCCGTTACATATCTGGGCAGCATCACTAACAATTAAGGAGGATCCAATGTAGATGTGATGCCGCTGATTGGCAAAGCAAGGGCTGCATTTCTTAAATCGAAAAACATCTGAAACTCCAAACAAATAGCAATCAACAACAAAATCAGGATTTTCAAAACAAATGTATGGAGCGGAAACTTAGAGAACTACCAAAGCTATCATCCAGAAGATACAAGTATTTATTAACAGTTGTCTACGCAAAATACTTCGGATTCGTTGGCCAGACATCATCAGCAACAACCTACTGTGGGATAGAACAAACCAGATTCCAGCGGAGGAGGAAATCAAGAAAAGGCGATTAAAGTGGATAGGACACACACTACGAAAAGCACCTAACTGCGTCTCAAGACAAGCCCTCACATGGAACCCTCAGGGCAAAAGAAAAAGAGGAAGGCCAAAGAACACAGTACTCCGAGAAAAGAGAAAGCTATGAGAAGAACGAACACAAATTGGAAAGAACTCGAAAAGGCACGCAGGACAGAGTTGGTTGAAGAATAGCGGTCGGCGGCCTATGCTCTATTTGGGGTAACAGGCGAAAATAAAGTAAGCAAATTGAAACCACTCTTTAGTGCTGTAAAATAAATAATCACTAGATAGTGTGATATGCGTCACATTATGAGTTTGTGTTAATTTTATGGAGTCATTTAAGAAAAATAAATTTTTCTCTGCATTGTATTTAATTTTTCTTGCATTTTAAATAACCCTAGATGGCACTGCTAAACGCGTATACGAGTGTCACTTATGTGATCAATCTTTTTTAGTTTACGGAAGCTATTAGTTTCCTCTCGGAATACATAGTTTTGTGACGGTAAAAATCGATCTTGCCCTCACTGTTAAGGATGAAATGCAATGGTATTAGGTTTTGCCAACCTACAGATCGTAGAATATTAAAGCCAATAACTAAGTTACTTTCGGCATAACGAATGGCTCTGATCTACGCAAACGTTTAGTTGCTGTATGACAAAAGCTACAGACGAAATATAATAATTATCATTATTTTACACATGTTCATCAAAGTATTTAAGATACAATACACTAACCTCTCTGAGTTCCTGTCCTTTGAATAAATCGCGATCCCTTCGTAGGTCATCAATGAATTTATCCTTCAGTGGAGCCCTTGAAAGTGCAATATAAAATTTAGGCATTACATACATAAATAAATGATGGTTTGTATCTCTTAGTGGTCATAGTCCTTTTCTTTTAGTCTGCAAGATGCCGAATAATATTGAGAGTTAAAACCTGGCAATTTTTCTGCAAGTACCGTAAATGTTTATAGGTAAATTACTCTACTTGAATTTTTGAATGTGTTTTTACATTGTTTTTGAATCAGACCTTGTTATCTGGCTGTTAGATATATGTATATTTTGTTTTCTAGTACTTATTACACGCAGAGTCTGTTCCCGTACGTCGATTCTTTGTCCCCGTAAATTGACTGACTAGCTGTGATCGCAGAGCTCCTTTTCCTTACTTGTTGAAACTGATTAAACGTGAACTGAGTAATTAGGTGTTATTTTATCATAAAAATGTGACAGAAACGACATTCAGCACTGTTAGAATTTCTGAATTTCGTGAATAAATTTAACACACACCTTAAAATGGTCGAGATAACAAATAATTTATCGTAATAGTTGTATATCAACAGAATTTCTTTTCAATATTAGTGAATTTAAATTATCTTTACTTCAACAATTTATGAAAGTTTACTCAATGGTCACAGTCGTTTGTATAATGACCCTATATTTTTGTCAAGATTCAGAATGAGAGTTACCTCGATTAGTAAAATGCTTTAAACTGTAGAGTGTATTTACTAAAGGGTTTGTAAGCACACAAAGTCTGACAGAAGTCAAGAAACTTAAGAGCAAAGCATTTTTAAAGTTTCATTTACTTTTTAAATGCTGTTCTGCGGCACGAACCATCTTTTTCGAATCAGGTAATTTTCTAGTGAGGGACATTAACAAATTAAACATAAAGCTATCCGAAACCACTTTAAGAAAAGATAGTCCTGAAGTAGGCATTAGTATCGTGATCAATTAAAGACTGCCTGAAACAAATCTTTGAATGGTCCTACTTTTCAAACTTTATATAATTACACATGAGCCTCATTTTAGTTGAAAAACATATTTTGGGAGAACTTACCGATCACCACTACTCATTTCTGAAAGTATATCCTCTAATTCCTCAGACAAACGACCGAGGTCACCGCATATCTGATTTTTCAATATATCATTATCAATAAGGGCATTCTGCAGACACTTATCCTCCAGCAGTACAGCAAATCCGTTTTCATTTATAACATATGGGAGAAGTTTTGTCTTGCTACTTAAAATGCTCTAAAACCAATTAGTTTAGGACAGAAATTTACACGTAGATCATCGAGCAAAACATGACTGGAAAGATTGACAATTACAATATTGTCGAATAGTTTCAAACTTTCTCTAACTCCTAATTGATAATTCAGTTGTCCTTGTTTTGTCTAAACATAAGCAATGAAATTAATTTTTATTCACAAAACCTTGTCACTCATGTCAACAATCAGGACATCGGAATTGTAAACATAGTCCAAGGTCTCTGTGCGTCCATGCGAAACCTCTTCATATGAAATAAACCGAACAGTTGCTTGAACACTTTGGTTTTAAGTTAAATATTTCAAAAGAAACGCACTTTTTGCAAGCAATACATATCTCCTCAATTGCCTTGTCCTGATCAAACGGGATATTCACACTATTCCTATCTTCTGAAATACAGGTTACCAGCATATTGGAAACGGACAACTATTTTGAAAATCCCGACAATGAACTCGTGCAATACAAAGATTATTCCAAATGTTAAAACAATGACGTTTTAAGTAGTGGGATATTTTAGCTATCATTTATCAAAGTGAATCGAAAACATACAATTTCGGAAAGGAATTAGTATGGTGAGCCTGATAAGTTTTGCATAATTTTAGTATCGTACACTATGTTATTGGTAGGAACTTGGGTTTGACCGTCTATAGCTGACCAAGCATTTTTTGATGACCACTGTGAAATTTATAGTGAATATGACCAATTCTATTCTCAGGGTGGAACGCAGCTCTATCATCAGTAGTACAGATATGGTCTTATGATTATTAAAATTTCTAATGTAGATTTGCGGGAAAAGGTGCTTAGGCCAGGGGACCAACACTAGAAACATTTTCTGGTCGACAATATTTCACTGGGAAATAGCCCACTGTTAAGTGATTCCGTCGAAAAAGCAGTTCTCTTATTCGTCGACAGTGATAATTACCTCAGTAATTTCACTGGATACATCCTAAATGAGGGCTCTCCGTTCGGCATTTATTTACATATAGTGACATTATGTGTTCTTATAAACCTTGTATTATCAGTTACATCATTCTCGTTACAGAACATTTCATTTATAAGTCCTTACTCACTCCAAATTTGAACTCATACTATTCCAGCCTGATAACCCGGAAACCTGGTTCTACTATCTAATGTCTGATATCCACATGCACGGTATGATAGACCAGCCTGCGAAATTCCTCTCAATAATGGAGGCAACACCAGACGAGTTCAAGAGGTATGTTACAACTTAGATGTTCACTAGTGATGTTTCCCGGCGTTTGAAAATTCATTAAGAGAAATTCTTAAAAGTCAAAACCTATTCAATAGACAAAAGTCGGACTAGAAATCCCACAATGTATAACTGCAACAAGAGTAAGCAACATAATTATTGCTGCGCATGAGAGAGGCCATTAATCTACGAAATTATAATGATGGCCTCTTTGCGAAACTCTATTACCTAGGCTTCTCCAAAAAGTACCTCCAGTTTTCCTTCATTTAAAAATAATAATGTAGACGAGTCTGGTTCTGGAAATCAACGGAATCCATATGAAAGAATTTAGTTCATTAAAATAAAAGTCTTGCTCAATATGAAACGAAATTCCATATCTCTTTCACACTAACACTCGTATTTCCCCTTCATCATGAAATTCCTCGGTAAATCGTACTAGATCAACAAGATATTCCTGAAGAACAGTTAACAGACCACACTAATTCCAGCTTCTATAACAAGACCCATGACAAATCTTACATAGATTTTAGTAAACCCTGTGTCTTCTCTAAACTCAAACAGTTCAGCACAATAAAGTTTACCGGAATCTCTCCCACTCGTACACCTTAACAGCGACCTTAGCTGTTGATTATAGCCAACCTTCTTTACACCATTGATTTAAGGGTGAAGGTTGATTATCTCCCAAACACTAATGTACAGTCTGGCATACTTCTCGTGAAGACTAATGATTGCTTTACCGATCTAGTTTTCAATTTACAGGAAATAAACAACATTTGTGGAATAGGTTACGTTTACCTTAGATTGGTTTCTAAAAATGCACATTGTTATTCCAGACGTGTTAATGTCAGTAATTTGCGTGAACTTTCTACAACACTGTCACCTACTGGCAGTCCTAAGCAGATATAGGTTAGTATACAGTAATATTACTCAACAGTTTATGGAGGTTTATTTTCTGTATTCTTGAAAGCCTGTCAACCAGCTATTGAAAAGCTTAGACTAGTCTCAAGTGAATTCAATCATGTGATAGATTTAAGAGCAAGCCGAGGCGATCACCTTTCAAAAGGCTCCTGGAAAGGGTGACATTTAGGTTCTAACCAGGAAATGTCGTAAATCAAACCATAAAGCACATTGGGTCGTCACTCCCACACATGCTAGTCCTGAAAAATACCTTGAAATGCGCTTGTCTCTTTCAAAAATCGATTTGACGAAAGCTTATAGGTGATATCCTATGACTGCAAATGGCATTTCTAAAACGGCCATCATCATTCTTTTTGATCCGACTAACTTTTGTCTATTTAATTCTGTTTGCAGATTGCTACTCAGATATTTCGGAGACTCATCGGTTAAGCGTTTAGTAGTCACATTTTGTTGTTACCCGCTGTCTGATCGTAAATCATGAAAAGTAACATGAATATTCGTGTATGCCGCAAGCAGTATTCAGTCCTACTAGCTTATACAAATGTGATAATTAGAAGTATGTGAATCAAGAACTAAGGGATAAGCACAAACGAATGTATTGTATTTAGAATTCGAAATCAAGCATTCAACAACAACAAGAAGTTACTAGTTCATTCAAACACCACATCCGCCACAGCTTAAATTGGAATGTATATGTCTGTAATCAATTGTACGTCTTCTTCTCAAATTCATCCTGTGTCTGTCCGACAGTGTATTGGATAAAGGCTCTGTATTATCTAGAATGCTCTCATTAGTATTAGAATTAACAACCGAAATTGGAACAGACTCACCTGGTTCTTGGAATTGTATTTGATCAACATGTTGAACGATCAGAACGATCCCCGTGGATGGTCGAAGATCATTGCCACGATAATATGTAACTTCTGCAGACTCCAAACATCTCATATTCGACCGAAGAATTCTTCCTTTTAATAGTTTTGATGGAGTCTCTTTCGTCACCGAATATCTGGCATTTCTATATTGCAGTAGAAAGGTATCTACTCCCCTCTCTAGCTCATTAAATGTTGAGGCGGCAATAGAATCAATCCACTTCGAATGCTGATTTTTCAGCTTATGACAGTTTTCGCAATTCATTGCTGTACGACAAATATCTGCATTTATCTCTGGCCACCAACACGTGAGCCTCGCCAAGGACTTCATTTTCTCAACACCTAAATGTCCACTATGAAGATCTTCCAGGACAGCTTTACGCAATGAAGGAGGAATAACAACCCGATCATGTAAACACAAAATACCATCAGGAGTAGTGAATAGCTCATCCCGCTTTGAAAAATAGATAGGGAATCTGCGTTTCAGATTAGCATTCCAACCTTTCCGTATAGCATTAATTATACATCCAAAGTTTCTACGAGTTTCTCTAATGAGATCTGGACATTTCACTGGTAACGATTGCACCAACAAATAGTCTGAAGTATTAACAGGTTTATCTTGTAATGACTGTCGAGAAATGTAGTCAACATGTTGAATTTATTTGGCACTCCTGTGCTGAACCGTTTTCATACTTCCATTGCACTTAGCACACGTGGCTATCAAATCTTTAAGTAAAGCATCAGAATTTTCTTTAGAAACTAGGAAAGACAACTCCACTTTAAGTCTTCTCAAATTCTTTAAACCCAGTATTGACAGTCCTGTTTCACTAACTAAAAATTCACAAGGTATGTATGAGGAATTATCATCTCTTATTAGCAATTCACAACATCCTCGTATAGGCAGTCTGTGTCCAGTAATCCCCAATATTGATACACCAGTGGGTCGTATCACAACGTTCGGATCTAACAATTGAAGTTCTTGAATGAAATAATGGACTATATACTGCCTGTGTCCACAATGAAGTCATGACATGAACCAAGCGATGTATATAGTCGCTTTCGAATATGAGTATTACCTTTCGAAACGGTAGTTAAAGATAAATGATCATTAGGATCAGCTGAATTATTGGAATCTAAATTACAAGATTTAGTACTACTTGAGGCAAAATGAACAGTAGCTTTGCATACTGCTTGAATGTGTCCTATCTTACCACATCTAAAACATTTAGCATTACGAAATGTACAAGAATGACGAGAATGAAGTTTTCCACATGATAAACATTTGCCAAACTTGGTCTCACCTTTGTGATTTCCTTTGTAATTCTTTTTTGAGACACCGTTCATATTTACACGAGAATCGGAACCTCTGTTAAACGAACACAATTTTGATTGACCCTGAGATTGTTTTTCATCATGACAACTAATCAAAGTATTGGAAATCTTCATCGACTGAATATCAAATTCATTCAACGCCTCGTAGTTAATGCACGCAGTTCTAACATCTTGAAAGGAACAGTTTGACATTCTTAACAGCTCTCTTTCCAAACTAGGTGTGTTAATTCCTGCAATTAATCGGTCTCTCAGCTGCACATGAAGTTGATCACCGAAATTACATTTGACAGCCTGTTTCTGCAATTCAAGAATGAATTCCTTAACATTTTTGTCATTTTGACGAATCATCTTATGAAATTTCGCTCTTTCACGGCATTCAAAACCAGGGCACTTTACATGATTTAATAATAACTCCTTTAGCATTGCATAGGGAAGTGAAATAGGTTTCTCTGGATATGCCAAGGTTTTTAATAAGCTGTACGCTTCTTTTCCGATGAATGTTAGGAAATGAGCCACAATTTTATCATCTTTGACATCTTTCCTGGTCATACTCCAGATTTCGAACCTTTCCAAATAATCTTCAAAAGCTTCAGAAGTAGAATGAATATCTAGCTGTTCCATTACAAATCCTGCTCGCGACGCCAGTGTGATAATTAGAAGTATGTGAATCAAGAACTAAGGGATAAGCACAAAAGAATGTATTGTATTTAGAATTCGAAATCAAGCATTCAACAACAACAAGAAGTTACTAGTTCATTCAAACACCACAACAAACCAGACAATAATAAAAGGGAATGATATCTATAAGTAATTGCTATACAAATGGCTTGGTTAAATAAGTTAATCAAAAACATCAGCCAAATTAACTGTGAACAAACTCAAATGTATTTGGGGGCACTATATTACGACTCGTAGTGGGTCGATTAGGGGTTCATTATAAACACCACTACGAACTAATTACCTTCTAGTTGTATCGCGTTCTCCGGTTGTAAACCAAAAACAGGAAAGAAGAGATAATCTAGATGAAGAGATATATTTGCTGGTGATTTCGATGTATCGAAAGAGTATTGAAATCGTGCCAGAAAAAACAGGCAAAGTTACGGAAAATG